GCATCATCGATGGGCGTATTGCAATTAATTTGTTAAAGGGCACCTATTATGCAAAATCCACTTGTACATGGTGTTTGGACAAATGTGTTTGACGAACTACATTACATTGATAAAATCCACCTACAATACTCCTTACTTTTTATATTATAAATTAAACCAATTAAACCACACCAGTTCTATTTGACTTACGCTTTTAATTCTGTTAGCATTGTGACATCACAAAGCTTAGGACCCGTCCCAGAGCTGATGACTGATAGTCCTGCGTTACCATAATCTATGGCTGCATCTAAAATCGCCTACTAATCAGTAGGTACTGCATTTTAATTTTTATTTACCACATGACTGTTCTATGTATTATGAATGGAGTTCGGACGTACTACATCTGACATTTTCATATTGATCACATGACCCACCCACGTCAGTTGTGTCTCTTCACTCCCATTCATGAATTCGTTCGCATGGCATCATGTGATAGCAGAGCGGCCATCGGATGCACACCTCAGAATCTCGCCGGTTGTAGTTGTTCATCTGGGTACTTCAATTTTATGAATACTGTCATACTGTGTTTAGCATACTATATAGTGTGGAAGTATGCAATTTTAGATGGAGCCTTTTTGTTGTGTTTGTTTGTTTGCTGTCTTTTATTTTCCCCCCTGTTTGACGATGTCAACTAGAGCTGTGCCATGAACTGAATTCAATTTTGATTTTGGCCAGTGATTATGAAAAAAAACAATCAAGATAAAATTATTTGAGTCATATTCCAGCCTATCCAGCAATCCGTATTCATTCTTCTGCATGCGTACATGCAAAAATGTGTCTCTTAGAGATCATTTGCATTGTTTGTTATGTAATAAATGAACATAAAGAGTTGAGAAAAAAATACATGTATATCAGTAACCGAATCCAGGCTGCCGTGTGGACAGCAGTTATATTCCTGCTGCCGACTACTGTGTTTCCTCTAAGATTTTTTTCCAGCTGTGGCGGCAGGCCTTTTTTTACACAGATTTACCAACTACCTGTGGCGTTATTTCAAATGACAAGTGTCCTAAGCGCAGTATTAGAAGTCGAGATTGCATTTATGTAATAGCCTACGAGAATGCGGATCTCTTTGCTTGCGCGCCGATTTCCTCTGCTCATGCACAAAACCTCTTGGACGCCCCCTCAAATAGCCGTTTCAAGAGCGCACAGATCTTCATGTGCGCTCTCAAATAAACGCTGCTGAAGTGCGATTTATTGCATTTATGTATTGTGTATGTCTCCAACATTTATTAGATTTGCTAGGAATATTCATGAATGTATCCAATACCTACAGAGCGGTATTAATGTGTCCTGAAGTAAAATGAAACGGGTATACATCGTGTTTGCTGGCCTCACACATCACACACCTGTCTGTCAGACAGCCAGTCAGTCTGCACATAACCTTGAAGGTTTAAACAAATGACGCAAAGCACTGTGGTTAAAAAAAAATGTTTGCGCTGTTATAATTCACTTACCTTTTAATACGTTTTGGTGCAATTATTACCCGCTGTTAAAAAAAATAAAATGTTGAATGAGAAGCTGTAATGTAGCCGTGGCGGAATGAGTTTTGGCGTGGCGCCCCACCATGGAAGAAGGAATGTAGCTGAAACATGGACTATATGCTTATCATTATTAATCAACCAACAAAAGATAAAGACAAAATCACTCACTGATCCTGACTTTTATACAGTGAAGACGATGCTTAAAGCTTACAATTTTTATATTTCTTTATTTGTAATATAAATGATCTGGTGAGCTGAAACGTAACAGACACATTCTGAAGACACCCATATCTTGTTAAAAAGGGGCATAATTGTTTCCCTTTCAGTTTCCCTTTTCAGATAACCAGCCTACTGTTTTCTCTACTTATTTGAACTGAGAAAAATCTCAATAGACAGTTGTCCTGTTTAATCATGGCACACATTAATTAAAGTACATTTTTTAGGGATGCAGCAAAATGGAACATCTGGGCCAAAACCCAAAGTTTTGGATGCACTTGGCCTTTATAATAATTATTTATTATTTCATTAAATTCTATAGTTTTGTTAAACTTTTTCTATTTAATTAACTTTGATTATATTGATGTCAAAAATACAATCAAAAAAATTAACCATATTTTATTGATAATGAACAAATCAAGCAGACTTGGAATATATTTACAGACCAGAATATTGAGCAATTTTTAACTTTTTGAACATGGCATGCATGTTCATTCGCATGGCACAATGAAATGAATAGGTTTCATAGTGCAGCACTTCCCGCATCTGGTGTGAAAGCCATTTCCGTGCAATGTGCAATGTACGCAGCATAACCCTTTTCGGATCATATTTTCAGCCATTTTTCTTTTTCATCCTAAACCCAAAAATGTCATACCCGATCATTTTAGACAGGCAAAGATTTGGTCCTTCCACAAATATATAATAGATTTTTTTGACCATTATAGACCACAATATAAACATTATGATCAGGATCATTATGATCATGTTTACATGAGTGTTACAGCAGGCTGTGAACATATATTAGTACAATTTGTTGTTTGCTTTCAGCAACTGAGCGTTTATATGCAGATACTGTGACGTGGGATGTTAGACTGAGCAAGTGGATGATGGTGATGATATTTGAGCGTCAGTGTTAAAGGTGGTCAGTGGATGAGTCAGCAACAGAAGGAGTCTGTCAGATCGCTCTTCCTGTAATGCTTTCACTCTATGGATTGCAGTCAATACAATTGTTGTTTCTAGTTTCACTATGTGATAGGAAAGCCCTGAAAGTTTGGTGGTCAAAATTGGTTAATGCTGACCTAAACTGCCTCACTTAGACAAGATGGAGGGATGGTGTGCATGCATGTCTGTAAATTTCAGTTCAATTTTGTGTGAATAAACAATGTTTTGTTTATTTTAAGCCTGCTATAAATGTCACTTGCTTTAATTAATTAATTAATTTTTTATGACATTTTAGTTGTTTTAAATAAAGTGTTTTGTTTTAAATAACTTTGCTTTGTGTTTTTTTAGGCTTTTAAAAAATAAATGTGGCGTTATTTAAAATAATGCTGCTTGGTTTGATATGCAGTTATCAATACAGTGATATTCTTAAGTATTATTGACTTTATGTTAAGACAGTAATACTTCATGTGATACTTTCTATATTAAAGACATTTGTTATTTTATAATAAAAAATACTCCTAGAATAAATAGAATTTTTCATATAGATTATTTTTAAGACATTTTTAACATAGTCTCATTGTTTAAAATAGGTGCCACTTGGTTTGTTTTATCCAAAAGATTGTCATTCTTAAATTATTTTAACTTACATTTGTATTAAAACTTATTATTTTATTTATTCAATTTTAATTGTCTCCTTTTTAAAGTAAATGTCATATATTGAATCTGATTTGATTTTTATTTTATTTGATTTATTTATTTTAAACAAAAAAATCATACACAAAACAATTTTTTAAACAAATTGATATGCTTTGATATCTTAAATAATTTCTGATTCGAGTGTATTTTTCTATTTAGCTTTTTATTTGTTATTTTATAAATTGTAAAAAAAATTTAAAATGAATATATATTTATATATATATATATATATATATATATATATATATATATATATATATATATATATATATATATATAAAGCAATGTTTTGATAATTTGTCATCTCTTTCAATGGCATTCTTATATTTTATTGAAATTAGTTTAATATACCATATTTATATGTTTTTATAATGTTATATTTAATATTTAGTTGACCTATTTTTCAAAAATATAACTTTTTTCCCTGATTTTGATATTGATACCTTTTTATTTTAAATTCCTTACATTGTTAGTTTATCTTTTCAGTTAATATGTTATTTTAATGTCCTATAGTATACAGTCAGGATATACTATGGTACCTTTTAATAATGGTGTCCGAAAATATTTCAAAATTATTATCATATTTCTGTTATTAACACTCTCAGGATTTTGCATGCAATTAATATGTATATGGCAATGTTGATGTATTTGGTCTTGGCGGTATAGATACGCTGCTAGGCATGGGCCGGTATAAGATTCTGACGGTATGATAACCTTGGATAAAAATATCACGGTTTTACGGTATCATAGGTTTTGTGATTACTGCTCTAAAATATATTCTTTTTAAATGTCTGGGTAAAAAACTAGAAGTTTTTTTCCTCCTTTGAACACAATATATTCTATTTTGAAAAACATTTTAAATATTTTGGAGCAGTAAACATGTCAGGCTAAGTAATGAAAATGATTCATTGACTTCTGCTGTCTTGATTAGTTTCTAAAATAGCGTTTTTTTTGTTTTGTTTTTTTTTACAATTCAAATAATGGCATCTTTGGATGTATTTTCTGCTGGAGATGCTGTTGTTTAAAAAATGTAAATAAAAAATCCTACACATACTTTAGAAATGGTATTACAGAAAATTTTGGAGGTATTAAAACCAAAGCCGCGGTTTTAATAACACGGTTATAATAAAATATTCCAAACCGCGGTATACCTTGAAAACGGTTATCGTCCCATGCCTATACGCTGCTGCTGCGATTATTATGGGAGAGCCAGTGCAGAGACCTGCTACTGCCAGTATATACAGAAACATGCCATCTAAGAATATAACACGCTGTTGCTGCAAACTATTTGTAACCCCCATAGCAGATTTAAACACAGGTGGAGCTGGGGTCGAGGAGGGTCTTTAAAAACACGCTGCAGCTTAACAGCGTAGAATTATGCTGAGCATTTAAACCAAGGAGCAAGCTCATTGGCTGTCGAAACGACAGCTACCAATGTCCTGCAACATGTAGTAATGATGCAGATTAGGTGACCTATCAGCCTGCGTGCACATAGACTTTCATAGCAGAAATTTCACTTACATCAATCTGCTTTTTTAAAATAAGCTTTAATCTCACATATATTGATATGACTGTCAACACTTTGTTTATCAACAAATCCCTGATTCGTTGTCTCTACATTCGCAGGACACAATAAATAACAATTCCTTTGGTGAGAAGGAAAGGAGGAAAGAAAAGAAAACTCATTCTTCATCACCACACATTAAGGGTGAGTAATGGCCGCACAAATGAACACAACTGATAAATCGCTGAGACTTGAATTTTTCAAACAAGTCATTTTTCAAGCTCTCTTCCTTACATTAGAGCAATTACCCTGAGATTAATGAAAGAATCGCAAGTTGTTCACCTCACATGCTCTATTATTGTGTGTTTGTAGTAGTCGCTTCCACAGGATTAAAATGTGTTTACGTGCCGTGATTAACTTAATGGGATTTTTGTCAATCCACTTTACCCAGTGAGTTCATCAGATGTCACTTGTGTTTGATTCTTCTCACTAGAAGTAAAGTGGAATAGACTTTAAAGTTAATGTATATACTTTTTTACTATGTGATGAAGTGCAATCTTGTGTCCCAGCTTAATCCATTAGGTAGTGTAATCATTATGGCTGTGTTGCAGTTGGCATGCTTTTACTATATAGTAAATTTATATGCTTTGCTGACGAGGGGAAATTTTCATTTTGCATATGTAAGCATTAACTAAAAGCGCTGAAAGCATGAAATGAAAATTCAATCTGTCTGTCTGTTTTGTAAATAAGGAGTTTTGTTATTTTTAGATGCTGTTTATTAATTTACACATTTATTTTAGTTTTATTTATCCATTTATTTTAATCTTTTTAATCATTCATTCATTTTTCTTCGGCTTAGTTTCTGATTATCAGGGGTTGCCACAGCGGAATGAACCATCAACTATTCTGGCATGTCTTTTACTCAGTAGATGCCCTTCCAGCCACAACCCTTTACTGGGAAACACTCATTCACACATGCACTCATAGATTAATTCATTTATTCATTTTCCTTCAGCTTTGTCTCTATTTCAGAGATTGCCACAGCGGAATAAACCGCCAACTATTCCGGCATCTTTTTTACGCATACACTGATACACTACGGCCAATTTAGTTTATTCAACGCCAACTGGCAGGAGCCGATTTAACCAATAGGTGAAGTAAACAGCCGCTTAGGGCCCCCAATAAATACTTTGAAATATAAATGAAATCTATAACATTCTTTTTCTACCATTTACTATCAACTTTTGGGCCCCATGTCTGAAATCACTTAGGGCCCCCAAATCATTAGTTGGCCCCTGCCAACTAGTCCTGTTAGGAGAGTCCAGTTTGAAGCGATCATCACTTATATATTTTGGATAATTACATTTCAATAATATTTTTTTTGTACTAATTTGTATCGTGTTTCAATATTTTTCATTTTATTAGTTTGTCATTTTATTATTTTTCCCCTTCATATAGGAAATTCTATTATGCGTGTCAGGCCAGTAGGTTATGATTTCACTTTGTAAAGAAACGCTTTAGGTTCGGATTGATTTTGCTTAATAATATCCAGCTGCAGAACCACAGACCTACCACTATTCAGGCCACACTGGATTCAGGCCACTAGATCTTGGGCTTGGACTTTGTTTAGTGTTACAGCTGCGTATTTGTGCACATACAAATAACTTTTTTTAAAGCAGTTCAACAATAAACACTCTTGATTCGTAACTGTGAGGGGTAGGTTTATGTTTGGGGTGGGTGTATACCAGGGGTCACCAACATGGTAGCCCGCGAGGATCACATGTGTTGCCCACAGGCCTATTTTAAAAATAGCTCTCCATAGCACCACTTACCAGTAAGCTTCATCTAAAATAGAAGTAATCATTTAAAAATGTAAATATTTGCAGAGATATATAAAAATAAAGTGTTGCACATTGATACATTAAATACAGGGTATTTCCTACCCTGTTAAATCATTGCTGATAACTTTTGTGAGAATCATTAACATGATCAGTGTCTTCACATGGATGAATATCTTTAATTATTACCAAAAACATAAAGTATAATTAAAAGTAAATTGAGCAAATTTGTTATTTGAGAAGTGTTTATCAAACTGGTAGCCCTCCACATTGGTGTTGGTGACCCCTGGTGTATACCTTATTAAAACATGACAGCTTAATGTGAGGGCTAGGTTTAGGGTTGGGGTGGGATAAACAAAAATGTTATGGTTCATTATATTCATCAAAATGAATATCAATAAAAAATCTAATTATTTGTAGTATTTTGTGTATTGTTAGTAAATACTGTATATAAAATTAATGTGGACATTCTTGAGATCCGTCATTAACCATATATTGTTCATCCCTGCTTGGGTCAAACGTGTGGGTTCACAGACCTACAGCTGACCTACAGACCTACAGCTGGTATGCAAAAAGTGGGTGGGATTATTACTATACAGTAGTTGCGCTGCCTCTACTACCATGACATCGTTTTCATTTTGGGGCATTCCATCTAGCTCTAGCCTTATCCATTTCTTAGATACTAACACTAGGAATGTCTGGACATATTCTACTGGCTACAATGCTGCCATTTCAGGTGTATTTTTTTTGCGGTGATATAAAAACAATTGTGCGGACCAACAATACAGCAGTGGCTGCTGCTGACTAATAAAATATATAAAAGAGTTTGGTGTTTAGTATCGCAAATCCAATGACGCTGGTATTTAGGATTCTCTCTGACAAATCAATGATCAGCAGTATGCATATATCACAGTTTGGTAAAGGTAAGTCTAGCTTGGAACCTCACCCGAAGTGGTACTAAAAAGTACTAGGAACGGAATGAATTTTGAAAAGCCCCCAAAAAGTGAGCCATACCAAATAAAGTTTCACCTGATGCAAGATCAGACTGCATGGTTTTTAAAGTAGCTGCATCACAGATGTTTTCACACTGCATGACTCTCCTAGCAATTGTTCCGTCTGCGACAGGGGGGATCACACTCCATGACTTTCAAGTGGGAAGAATCGCCAACAACTTTGTCTCAGTCCGCAAACTATGTCTCACAACCGAACATGTGCGAGAAGTGTCATGGAAACAACATGAGTTCATGTAGTATGTCTTTTCTTATTAACAACATAATGAGAAAGAGGCATTTAGTGGGGTAGAAAATGTACTTATTTTCCTCTCCTGACTTTGAAGGGAATTAGCAATTTCTCCTTAACTTTTTTCTTTTTCGACTCGGTTGTGATATTGATCAGATGACACGTCAAACAGACAAGGGTGCTTCTGCCAAATTTCCAATTGTCTTTCGTCCATTTCTTAGGTCCAAATAGACCAAAAAGAAGCACTTAACTTTTCCCCCAACCTCCTGCTGACCTGCAGATAGCCATACTAGTGGATGCTGCTCTCTCATTGGCTGTAGGCATGATTTTGAATCGCAGAGAGCTCCAAATATTTATCATGCTAAATATCTGATGGGTGTTGTCGACTCATCTGCGATTCTCTCAGATTGTCTCATTAGTAGTTCACACTGTGTTATTGTTAGTCACGTGAACAAGCACTAATTTGCCTGTGATTTCGGGCATTTGTCGGCGATTTCTCAAAACCTGTCTGCGAAAATCATGCAGTCTGAACTCGGCATTACCATGCAGTGAAAAAGCATCTTATGTGTTGTTTTAACAAGTACTCAAACTAGTAAATACGTGTAGGCTGATCATGTATCTGTATGACAAAATAAAATCCTTGTAGATTACTTTCTGTTGAAAAGAGTTTGTCCTTTCAGACCTCCAATAGTCAGTGGTTGTGTAACAAAATTTAGAACTGGTTGGACTTGGCTTGTGTGGATCATTTTGTCTGCTTAAACTCGACCCCTTTCATACAGTCGATAATAAGCTAAGTATAGGTAAGTCCTATATTTAGGACTACTTATGTGTTCTCTATACTGGTTTAAAAACATAAGGATTCATTACATTGTTCAAACTAAACCCAGTGTTTTGTTTTTTTAATGGGGCATTAACTTAGATTCTTACATAATCTTTTTAAGATGTTTTTCTCCATTAGTCTTATTGCCTAATGTATAATCTTTTGTGTGTGTGTATGTGTGTGTGGAACAGGAGATTCGGCGGCCAAACCTGAGCAGGGGAGCCTGACCGATGGGGACAAAGTTCAGGCCAGGGCTGACACTAAACCACGAGGCCCAGCCTCCACCAAGAACAAAGCCTCAGCCTTTCAGAATAAGCAGCAGGACAAGTTATCAGAGTCCTTGAACAATCCCACCGTGGTTGCGCCCCTTACACAGACAGCCATGAGGGACAAATCTACAGAAGTACCCCTGATAGAGGGTGTCCTTGACATTTCGACCATTTGCAAGGAGAAAGCCCGGTATCACACTGTAAATGGCTATCGGGAACAAGTGCAGTATCCTGCAGAGAATGAAGGTATGTGTGACCAGTTGGTCGACAGAAACAAGGACTATCACATTTCGGAGGGAAATGCCACAGAGGAGATCCACCTCACGCCGGTCAACGGTGAACAGGAGCGACCGTTTCTGTCCCAGAGCAGCGACAGCAACCGCATGTCTATTAGTTCAGACACTGAGCTTCCTCCCCTTCACTATTACCCATCGGCAGGATGTCCAAACCCCTCCATTAGTGAGGAGGATGAGGTGTATCCTCCTACACCTCCATGCCGGACTGTCAGCCTCAGCGAACAACCAGGAGACTCTAGTCAATGGGCTGAAACCCGCAAACCCAAAATGGCGAAGGACGAAACGGGGAATGTAAAGGCAGTGGCGGTTAGCACGGATGCTTCAGGACTGACCTATGACTCTGTGAAGTACACCCTGGTGGTGGATGAACATGCTAAGCTTGAGCTAGTGAGCATTAAGGACTGCTACAAAGGTTATGAAAGTGACAGCGATAACACCGTCTACGAGTCTGCCATCGATGAGGACGACGAGGACCAGGAGGCTGATGAAGAAGATGAAGAGTCAGGGGCAAGGAGCATGAGGAGAGACACCTCCTGTTTGTCTGCGGACTCGACCACAGACACCACCTCAGATGTGCCCCGATCCCGCAAGTTCATGAACATTTTTGGGAATGGGCGGTCACGATTCTCTGGTGAGTTCAGCCTTCTGCCTTAAAGACTTCTGTAGGGAACTTCTGTGAAATCCTGTTGTTGTCTACAGTTTATTTTTGAGTTCTGAATTGACTCAAAAGATTTAAATTAACAAACGACAAGAATCTAAAATCAATTTTAAGATGTGTAGAAGAATCTCGAGTGAGGTTCAGGGATTAGTTAGTGCATTTACAGTGTGATAACCTGCCTGTAGTGAAGTTCATCATGCCAAATTCAAATAAATGGCTCATGTTTCTTTATATAATGAGCTCTTTGTGTGAAACTTGACATCCAGTAACCTTCTATGTTCAGTGGTTTCACCATACAAGTGCAAAAGGGATGTTATAAGAAAAGCTTAGAAAGAATGGAAAAGGTCCAAGGACTTTTTGCACCCCTTCCATAATTCTCTCCATGTATTTCCCAAGATTAAGAACTGTAGAGATTTTGCTCATTAATGATTGTGTTAATAGCACACCAGGCAGGATTACAAATTCTTGTAACAAAATATCTCTTTCCTGTATTGTCCTAGTTGTGCCAATGAATGTTTGTTCTTCCTCTCAGGTGCTGAGTTTGGATTCTTCTCCTGCGTTATTAATGGAGAGGAAAGAGAACAGAGCCACAGAGCGGTGTTCAGGTAAGCGTTCAAACAAATCCTTAGTGCTTTGTTTTGAAAAAATAGAAATAAAATAGCCATGTTACATAAAAGGGATATTGAAATATCATGACCAAGAAAGTTTCAGGATTAACTTAATATTTTCAATAATACGATTATCAATCGTTTGCTTGATTGCAGATTTGTTCCTCGTCATGATGATGAGTTGGAGTTAGAAGCGGACGACCCATTACTAGTGGAGTTGCAGGCTGAGGATCTGTGGTGCGAGGCCTATAATATGCGCACCGGAACCAGAGGCATCTTCCCTGCTTTCTATGCCGTCAAGGTGGCAAAGGATGAACTTGTTAAAGGTAAATCTTGCTTTTACTGTAGCATTTACAGGGTGTCTTAAAGTCTTAAAATGTCTTAAAGTTCAATAGTCTTAAAGATGCAGTATGCACGTTTGACACCCAGTGGTTGATCTGGGTATTGCACTCGGGAAAGCACACACAAGCGCAGGTTACCAGATTCACGACACCAACAGGAGTGTGCCTGAATATAGAGCCCAATGGCTCATTTAAGGCTGATTTAACCCATGTTCTAAAAAAAACACGTGATAGAAAGAATATTGCATATTAAAAAAAGATTTTGTTCTAGCCAACACCCGAAATCTATATTTTAGATATGGCTTTATTTTCTTGCAGCTGAACAACTGAAAACTGACAATAATCACCTCAGGTACACATCATGTGCTTTATTTGGTGTTAAATGCTAACAATATGAGTTTAAGTGGCATTATATGTGACATTTATTGCCATACTACTGAAAGCAGCAGCAGATCTCAGATCCTGAAAACAAAATAAACAGTTTTAAATTGAACTTTTGAAGTGTGACTTAGTGAAAGCCAACTTGTATTAGTGATTCAGCATGTACATTAGTAGTGTTAAAGAGGTTTAATATGTATTAATTAGATTATAAACCTTACAATTTCATTGGAGTGCAGTGAGTGCACTCTTCTTTGCTTCTGAATGGCTGTATTTAAATTTCTGTTGTGTTTCATCCGGTGCAAGCAGCCACATTGCTAAACCATTGCAAATCTCAACACGTAGCTTGTTGTTAAGGCACGGGTTACAATGTAACCTGCTCACCTAATGTTTATGTTTGTTATATTTATATTATATGCTAGTTAATAGGCATGTATGATCCTTAAATATTTGCAAACATATTATGGTATTTTTATGCTTAAGAAGCATCAAAAATTTGCTTACAGCACCTTTAAATTTACTGAATATTAAGTAGTAGGTCTTTAATCATTATAAACAGGCCTTGATTTTCTTATGTCCATGTAAAGCTACCCTATCGGGCTGACAAACAATCACCAATAATCCATCTCAAAATGTTTTATGTATATATTTAAATTTATTATTACAAAGAGATACAATTCACAACCGCTGTTAGACATCATACAGCAAATTATACTTCCTAATCTGAGAAGAAAACAAAAGCAACACATCCCTTTACATGATCTTCCATTAATACAAAAACTATTTACAGAAGTAAGCAGGCCATTCGAAAAAATCCTTAGTGTTTAACCCTGTATAAGTCTAAAATTTAATTCGTAATGGTCTTAAAAAGTCTTACATTTGACTTGAAGAAACCTGCAGAAACCCTGACTTACAAGAATTTGGGATTTTGTGCATTTAGTAATGATTACTTCTTTTGTCTGCTGTGATTCATTAGAGGTCAAAGGTGACTGGATGGACAAATTCTGGGTGAAATTTCTTGGTTCTGTTCAAGTGCCGTATCACAAAGGGAACGATGTGCTTTGTGCTGCCATGCACAAGGTACTAATTCAATTCTGTGTTATGACTCTGGCTTGGATGCTCATATATTTACATAATGACTGCAGTGGTGTATGTTGTTCATATGTAATCTGATGTTCGCTTGCGATCTGATTATGTCAACAGATAGCATCAAACAGACGAACAACAATGCAGTTCAGTCCTCCTTCGCCTTGCATAGTGGAAATCAACACAAGAGGATTGAAAATCGTTGTTCAGGACGACTGCCGCACTTCTGGAAGGGTTTGTAGATGACTCAAATTCTTTCTGATGTAATAAATATTCAATATATATATGGGTTGCAACATCAACAGCCTGAGGTGTCAAGACATTTGTGCTGCCCATTACATTGCAAACCACAGGATAGGGCAAATTATTCAGCAGGATAGAGCTCCTTCTCATACTTCTCATACCCATAAAGCAAAAAAGGTCAAGGTGCTCCAGATTGGCCAGGCAAGTCACCAGAGATGAACGTTATTGAGCATGTTTGGGGTAAGATAAAGGAGGAGGCATTGGAAATTACTCCAAAGAATCTTGAACTGGGAGTCCTGCAAGAACACTTTCTTTGCCTTTCTTGATGACTTTATTAATAAGTTATTTGAGTGATTGCAGAGATGTATGGATGCAGTCCTCCAAGCTCATGGGAGTCAGACACAATATTAATTATTTTTCCACTGCAGCATGACATTATATTCTATGTTGTACATTATTTCTGTTAAGTGACAAGACTTTTGTCTAAGCAAAGTCAACCTTCACTGTTCTAATTAAATAATTAAAAATCGAGGCATGATCATATTTTATTTTGGTGACATAAGCGTAATCTAGAGACGTTGTCTTTCATATAAGCCACTTCTGATACCAAATGATCAACTAGAAGTCAAGTTATTATTTGTTGTCCCTAAATTTGGATAGGCTACAAGACTTTTGTCAGGTAGTTTATGTGTGATTCTTCAAATATACGTTTCTAGAAATTTAATTAAGTTTAAATTTAATTCAATTAAGGTGGAATATTTTAAACTGAACAATACACTCCAGTGCTTCCCACATGTTGGAAATATACTTGCAGTGGTAGCAGGATTGAAAAACACTTTTTACCCACATCACATAAATTAGTATATACTATATGCGACAAACAAAACATAAGTACATTTAACAATATTTTATTTATTGTTACACACTGTTTCTTTTAATGGGTTAAAGTTTTAATGTAAATCCACAATTTTATGCAACTTTTATGCTAGTCGGGAGCATTTTGTTCAGTATTGCCAAAGCATATTAGATCTATAAAATATGCACTATATTAACATCATCAAATTAATAAAATATACAGCAAATAAGAAATAAATTACAAAAAAAATAAAATAAAACAGACAATATCTCTAAAAATGATAACAATTACAAGAATAAACTTGAAGATTATTTCAAGTTGATTAGCCATTTCTAATAGTGTAAAAATGTTTTGCAGCCAATTTACATCTAATTTCGTCCTCTCCGACTGAGACGTTAAGATTATAGAATTAATTATTTAATGTCTCACTCGCTCTCGTGGTTGTGCACAAACATTTGATGACAGCTTCAGAAAGTGGAACCAAAAGAAATCCCGGACATTTTAGGAGATTTTAAAAAATGTGGGTCAATAAATATACTTGGGCAGTTGTTAAAATACCTGGGTGGCCTGCCTAAGTAAAGTTTATGTGTGGGAAGCACTGCATTCTAAACCCTTTCAGAAGTAATACAAATATTTGTGTTAAATCTGTTGTTTTCTACCAAATGCAACAGTAAGCATCATTATCGATAAACATGTTATGAAAAGGGGTGAGGCAGTGGTGCAGTGGGTAGTGCTGTCGCCTCACAGCAAGAAGGTCGCTGGTTCGAACCTCGGCTCAGTTGGCGTTTCTGTGTGGAGTTTGCATGTTCTCCCTGCCTTCGCGTGGGTTCCCAGAGATGGGTTGCAGCTGGAAGGGCATCCGCTGTGTAAAAACTTGCTGGATAAGTTGGCGGTTCATTCCGCTGTGGCGACCCCGGATTAATAAAGGGACTAAGCCAAAAAGAAAATGAATCAATGAATGTTATGCATTCATTGCATTCTTACGCACTACTAATACTTCCCTTCTTAGACTTTACAGACCTGAAACTTGCTTATAGCACTTATTCATTGTTGCTCTTGGTTGTGTAAATTGCTTCCTTGTCCTCATTTGTAAGTAGCCTTGGATAAAAGCGTCTGCTAAATGACTAAATGTAAAATGTAAAATGTAAATGTTATGAAAAGTTACTCATCCTGCAAAAATGACCAATAATAGTCCTTCAGGTTTTGAAGAACTGCATTAGAAGCAGGAAATGTTAGTTTTATTACCATAAAAGCCATGAAGCTCAAATGTTAACTAAAAACTCACACACATTTGCATAAACTATACATGTTCACAACTCTAATTAACGTAATTTCAGCTAGTTGTTAAGACAATATTTTTCATTGTCATTTTGTTAATTTGAAAATAAAATGAAATCTAAAACTAAATCTGGATAGATATTTCGGGATCTCCCAGGGGGAGCTGGAGGAAGTATCTGGGGAGAGGGAAGTCTGGGGATCTCTCCTAAAACCGCTGCCCCTGCGACCCGGAAAAGCAGATAAAAATTAGATGAAAAAGTCAGAATTATTAGCCCTCCTATGATATAAAATGAAACATATTAAAATAGCACAAATTTACTAAAAATTTAAAAATTAATTAAAAAACAAAACAAGTAAAAAGTTAAAATAAAACAGCTTTTTTTTAGTTATTGTTGAATGTTTTCTAATAATCATAATAAACCTGGGCTGCTGTTTGTAAACTGCTGATTTGCAAACATAAAATGACATTTGACCTTAAAACCAAGTAAATCCTTTATCCTTAATGAGTTTTTGCACAGTTCGATGTTGCCACCAAAAGGCTGTTCTTCTGAACTGCTCTTTGTGACGCAGTATTTACGGCTCCACAGTTACGCAACAAAGACTCTTAAGACTGAATGTTAATCTGTAGTCATAATACGATGGGGTCTCACCCTCTAAGCCCCTCTGAGTGAATTTGCGAACGCGTTCAGTGATGTAAATTACAGTGTTAAGAACATACTGGACGACCTCACACCACGCTGACATCATGAGCCGGAAGCTTCCACTAATGTCCCTCAATCCCTTCTTTCCGTGTTTTACAGGGTGAGAAGTGCTTTCACTTTTTCCAGCTGAAAAACATCTCCTTCTGCGGCTGCCATCCCAAGAACAACAAGTGAGTCTGGCAAAAGTTTATTCGTTTACAAATGTGACTGTTTCTGTTCAAAATCAAAAATAAGGGTAAGTTAGAAGTCAAACAAATACTGATATTCAATTAAAAAAAAGACATTTCTTTTAAAAGTTTTATTTATTTTTTCATCATTTATTAATTCATTATGAAATTAATTTCAGTCTGTTTTATTTTATATACAGTAAAGTCAGAATTATTAGCCCTCCTATGATTTTTTTTTTCAGATATTAAAATATTTCCCAAATGTTACTTAACAGAGCAAGGAATTTTTCACAGTATTTCCTATAATATTTTATCTCTGGAGAAAGTCTTATTTGTTTTCTTTTGGCTTGAACAAATGCAGTTTTGAGGGGTTTTTTAACCATTTTATTTTTAATATTTTTTTTACTGTTTAATTTTTTCACTGTTCATTACTTTTTTTTATTAGGTTCATCTTAGGTCAGACATTAAAATATACATAATATTGATACACATAGATATATGCACTGATACAATTCACCAAACAAGAAATTATCAGGAAAACTTTATTATACACTAAATAAGTATATAAATAAAGATAAAATACCACATTTGTACACAAATATATACAAACATAAGATAACAACAATAAAAAATAAACAAATAAAAATAAATAAAAATAAATTATACAAAGAAAAGAAAGGTAAAAAGGCAATTAAGATATAGGTGTCTCCTTAAAAAGATTTATAAAAGGGCTCCAGACTTTCTGGAACTGTTCTGGCGTTTGTTTTATTGCAAACCGAATCTTTTCCATCCGAAGAGCATGCAGAAAATCAAAAACCCATTGCCGATAAGAAGGGGGAGCTGCTGACTTCCAATTCATAACAATAATTCGTCTAGCCAGTAAGGTTGCAAAGGCTACGCAATCGGCCTGTAATGAATTTAATTCAGCATATTCTGGCAGGATTCCAACAGAGCTGTTAAGGGGTTTGGGTCTATTGACAATGAAAAAGCAGCAGAAAAACACCTGAAGATTTTCCCCCAAAAATCAGACAGTTTCAAACACGACCAGAAAGTATGTAACAGTGTGGCTGGTTCGGTTGTACAGCGAAGGCAATATGGGTCAAGATCAGGGAAAATTTTATTCAGTTCAGTTCTAGACCAGTGTATTCTGTGCACGACCTTAAATGGAATGAGAGTATGCCTAGCGTTTATTGATGATGAATGTACTCTTGCAAGAATAAGATCCCAAATATTTTATTCGATTGTTACATTCAGTTCTTGCTTCAGCTTGATTATCTACAGAAAAATTATACAAAAATTTGCCTAATCACCCTAAATTGCCTAAAAAACTTAGTTAAGCCTTTAAATGTCCTTTTAAACAGAATACTAGTGTTTGGAAAAATATCTAGTAAAATATTATGGTGGTAAGCTGAATTTTCAGCATCATTACTCCATACTTTAGTGTCACACGATCCTTCAGAAATCATTTGAATATGGTGATTTGATGTTCAATAAACATGAACAAACACTTTAATTAATATGAAACTGTTGGAAACAGTTGAAAATGTAATACTTTTGTGGAAAAAAACATGTGTCAAGATAAACAGAAAGCACTTGCTTGAGACCAATGCTAAATGCATCTTTTCCAAACAAACAAAATCTGATTCATCTTTAAATAAAACAAATATTGTCTCCCCACATTGCCCCCTACAGGAGGATAGAAAATATACATCAACAACAATAACAAAGTCACATTTGACAGAAATGCTTCATGTGCTTCTTTCAGGTATTTTGGGCTAATAACGAAACATCCAGCAAACCAGCGATTTGCCTGTCACGTGTTCTTCTCAGATGATACAACCACAAAACTGGCCGAATCTGTAGGGTGAGTTCTCAAGTCACTTAATAATCACATTAGCTCCTCATTCATTACTCTAAAAACAATTATTTTCTTGAGAACCAAGAGGTAGATGACCTTTATTGTTTGGCAGATCATTAAAGAAGATTTTTAGCTGAAACTGTGTGCCTTTAGTGATTTGAAAAAAGCTTCCTTTTTGAAATAACAAAGATAACACCAATAGCACCTGATGATATTTTGAGGTCTTATGCCAGGTTCACACTGAATACAAATTTAAAGTACACATGAGATCAAAACTAACTTAGCTTAAATTGTTAGTTCAATGGTGAAAAATTGCCCCTGTAGTCGTTAATTGAAATCTGAAAATGTGTTTCCTGTTTGTCTTCTGTTAAATTGTCAGATTACGTCTGTCTGAGGTATTAGGCATGGTTAACACACTTAAACACGCCTCTTCAACTGTCAGTTTTGACAGCGCTATCCGCTTGTTAAGTGATGATGTGTTTGTGACGTATGTAATACTGTTTCCGGGTCCAAGCCGCCATTCATTTGAGTGGAGAAATCATTCGTTTATGATCGCGTTTTACTCCTATCACACATTAAAGTAAATTTTACATAAAGTCATAGTGTACACAACAATCTCTGGGCTTGCTGCATAACAAATACCAAAATTTTAACAATTTATAAAACAATGAATCACTTTCTGGCCATTGGATATGAGGGATGGACATATATACTGCGATCGTGACTTTCGAAAGTATTAAATCGATTTGTAAACGTTTATTATAACCATTTCATGAATCTCCCCATTCAGTTGAATAGAGCGCTTGGACCCGGAAGCCGCTCCGCGTGACGTCACACTTAACAAGCGGATGACAACAAACAGAAATGGCGGGGAGGAGGTGTCTGTTAGGTTGCAGTAACTTTCCCCGAACCCTTTTCGTGATCTTTCTGAATGAAATGCCTGCTTTACTACGTCCAATCAGCAAATCGCTACAACAAGCCACGTCCACTGTTTTCTCATTTAATATTGCTGCATCACAAATTGAAAAAATAAAATAAAATGGTCGCAGCTTCCGATTTATGCGGCCTTTAAGTATTTGTATGTGCAGATTATATACAAAGGCAATGCAAATGTGTGTATTTAGGTAAATTTCTGACGAGCATTGGGAATAACACAGAATGTGCAATATGTTTGTAGTGAATCTTTAAGGTTCTCCATTCTCTTAATAATCTCATTAAGTCATAATTCATCTCTCTACACAGGTTTAAAAAAAATTCAGCTTGAGCAAAAAAATTCAAGCAAAGCGTTGCATTATTACAGGGTCCCCGCGGGTCCTTAAAAAGTCTTAAAATGTCTTAAATAAAATTTTCGATTTTTAAGGTCTGAAAATGTCTTAAATTCTGTAATTTTCCATAAGGAGGTCTTAAATTTCATGTGGGCTCTTAAATATGTCCGACTCGTCTTATGGCGGCAAATCAATGCCAATATAAATCGAGCGCAGCGGTGATGTTTGCGCGTGAGGAGAAGTGAACCGTGAGCAGATTACAGGTCTACACGCGAGAAAATTACAGCTCGCGAGCGCACAGGGGATCTTCACGCGCGTGCTCAACTGATCCAGCGCGAGAAAACAAGTCCCGCGCGCGCACATTATCATCTGTGCGCACGATGTACGCTCTCGCGAGCGAGGTCATGCCTACAGCGCGCGCGCGATCAGTTCTTTCCGCTCGTTTGCTGGTTCTTCTCTCTGCTTGCGCGAAACATTTTGGATTTTTGTGAGTCCTAGGGCGGGACTTGATTTTCTTGTTATCTCTAACGCTATTGGCTACTCTACCTTTCCAGAAGTTAGCCGGGATTGGACGCAGGTAAGCTAGTTTCCCCGTTAAATAAAAATATATAGGAAATCTTATCATAATGTCACAGTGTGAAACATAGACTTACTTTCTCAGTAATAATAGGTGATGACTTACTTTCAATAATGAGATATTTCTTGTAATAATTAATCTCATAATAATGCCTATTCTTACCATCATGACCAAGTCATATAATGACATATCAAAATAATGAGATATATTCTTGTAACAAACTTTATTACTTGGGAGAGAAAGAGAGAGTTATACCATGTGGCAAAAGATCTCTCCATTAAACAGAAATTGGGGAAAATATACATGGGCTATTAAATCAGGACGAATAATTCAGACTTTAAATGTGTTTTGAACCATTTGATGAAGTTTAGCACCTACATTTAAACTGAACTCAAGCCAAACGTGTTCAAATTTATAAAAATCTTCTTTTTTTTTCTAAGATTCATGGTCCTTGACTCATTTTCTGTGAAGAACAAGTCAGAATAAATTGGATGGACAATAGTATACAAAATAGGCTATAAAGTGCATAAAGTACAAAGGTTTATAGTAAATATATTGCCATTAGTCTGTTATTCCACTATACAGTTAAAGTCAGAATTATTAGCCCGCCTGAATTATTAGCCCCCTGTTTATTTTTATCCTAATTTTTATTTAACGGAGAGAAGATTTTTTTAAACACATTTCTAAACATTATAGTTTTAATAACTAATTTCTAATAACTGATTTATTTTATCTTTGCCATGATGACAGTAAATAATATTTGACTAGATATTCTTCAAGACACTTCTATACAGCTTAAAGTGACATTTAAAGGCTTCACTTGGTTAACTAGGCAGGTTAGGGTATTTGGGCAAGTTATTGTATAACGATGGTTTGTTCTGTAGACTTTCGAAAAAAATAAATAGGTTAAAGAGGGTAATAATATGGACCTTAAAATGGGTTTTAAAAACTTAAAACAGCTTTTATTCTTGCCGAAATAAAACAAGAAAAAAGTGGGCTACTAATTTTGACTTCAACTGCATATGTGACCTTTAAGATGTGGGCCTGTCGTATAGAAAGAAGTATTTGTATGCCTCTAAAGTGGAATGATGTAATGGATAGTGAGTAAAGCCAAACGAAGATTGTAGAAATTAAATTGTTGCTCAATAGGTGGCGATAAAAACCCATCTGAATATCTGTCACTGTATTTTTTATGTTTAATTGGGCTAATCATTTTTGATTGAAGTCTTTATATGCAGGTTATTCAATCATTAACTAAAAATGAGATTGAAAAATATATATAATATATAGATATATATATATATATTTTACACTGATCTATATTACAAACAATGTTAACAATTATAATAATATACAAAGCTGCACTGCACATATAGTATGCATTGTATGGAAAGATCTAAAACGCAAATAAACTCTTCTGAAGACAATATTTCCTAGAAAGATCATCCCCAAGTGTAATAATGAGCACTGCTGTTGGGGTTAATAAAGAAGTAAAATACAACAAACCAGACAAGTGCTGCACGGACAAATCAAATGGGTTCAGAAAGTCATGTTACAAGAATGCAAGTCATTATTTTGGATATTATTTGACTGTTTCTCGAGATTGAATCCTCATAAAGTTCATAAAGTTCTCAGAAAGTTTCTTATGATTATGACTTGCAAATTGTATATATATTTAACGGCGTGATCTTTTAACTTGCGTCCAATCCCGGCTAACTTCCGTAAAGGCAGAGTAGCCAATAGCGTTAGAGATAACAAGTAAACCAAGTCAACCAAGTAATCTGCTCACGGTTCACTTCTCCTCGCGCGCAAACATCACCGCTGCGCTCGATTTATATTGCCATTAATTTGCCGCCATAGATTTGCCGCCATACTTCACCACATCATTCTGTGTTCACACTGAACATTTTCCTGTTTTTTTTTTGTTTTGTTTTTTTTTAGGTAAAGTCTTAAATTTTCATTTTAGAGGACTTAAAAAGGTCTTAAAAGGTCTTAAATTTTCTGTAAAAAAATGTGCAGATACCCTGTATTAAGCAACACGATCTGTGCAAGAACCTGAAACTCTTGCAACTATCAACAAATAGGACTTAGGTTGAGAGGCATTTCTCTGAATGCATAAATAACAACAAATCTCATTCAGCTCAAATTTGATCCCAGTCCATGAAATATAAATGTCCTTATACTAAAGTCTCTTTAAGGCAGCCGTCTTTTAAACACCTCTCGGGGCATTCTGTTTGAACAGAAAACATCCAATTTTTAACCAAATTAAACTGCAGCAAAGAACACACATCTGGACCAAGCCCCCTGGAGAATCATCAGTCTATTAGCAATCAATAATTGGCTCCTGTACTAAAAGGCGGGGCTTTGTTTGCCAAATTGGCTGTTACACGTTTCCCCATCATAACTACACAAGTGACATGTCTTGTGTATTCTTTAGTCTTTGTTAATACATAACTTCTGCTTGTATTCACAGGAAAGCTTTTCAGCAATTCTACAAAGAACATATGGAATATTCCTGTCCGACAGAAGACATCTTCCTCGAATGACCTTCAGTCTACTTGTATTTTTGCATTATCACACACTATATGAGGTGTCGCATGATGGTGGTTTTGAGCCTCTTCGTAATGTGTCATGTTGATGATATAATGTTGATGTCTATTTTAGACAAATGTTCAAATCGGCTACAGCGCAACTCCTTTCACCTCGTACAAACTGAGTATTACTGACTGGTGTAAAGCCTTACGAAGTTTAATAACTGAAAAAAAAAGTTTGATGTGACTTGTAAAAATCATTTCTGTGCCGAATTTGGTTGGGAATTCATTTGAAGCACAATGTTTAACGCATTAACGATGGAAGAAAGAACTTAGGCGGGGTCTAAAATTAATGTTTATCAGAAACCAAAGCTATCCTGGTGAACGCCATTCTTCACTCAGAACTGGCGCAAACCGTATAATTTAATTGAGGCTAATCTGTTCATCCCAGGTTAAGGGAAGACAAACTTTTCGCAAATCATAATTAGCATCACTTTGAACACAGGGTTATGAAACTCTGATCTAGTCACATTTACCAATTTGCAGCAAATTTTTGAGGATAAAATCCAGTAATTTCAACACAAATACACACTATTGCAGGAAAAGGTTGTATTCATCAAATTTGCCACATTGACCAACAGTTAACTACTTGGCTCGAATGTGACTTCTATGTGAGCTCTGCTTTATGCATCACTGCACTATTGATAGTCGATAATATAGTGTTTCCCGCCAAATTTCATTAACATCACTGCACCTTTGCAGTGTCACAGTTGCTGAAGTGCTGAATGTAAGAATGCCCCTGGTTATGCTTTTAAGGGCCCTAATTGTGTCTTGGGGTTGGAAATGATTTTATTTTTCCAAATATGAAGCATAACCCTTTTCTCTCCAAGTGAAAAAACGGTACTTACAAAAATCTAAATTGAACTTTGCCTAAACTTTTACTTCTGAGAGTATTCTGATTAGTCCAAAAGCCATCAGAAGGTAAACTATTTCAACAATTCATAAAATAGTGGATATCTTGTATGAATTTCTACAATCTTATTCAAAATATGAAGCATGAACCTTTTTTCTCCTAGTGTAAAAAATGGTACTTTCCAAAATCTAAATTGAACTTTGCTTGAACACCTGCTTCTGAGAGTGTTTACTCTGATCTGATTAATCCAAACCCATCACAAGGGAAACTATTTGACAATTTTGTAAAATAGTGGCTACTTTGGATCTCGCCAAGTGAACAAAATTATAGTTTCATTCATTTCCTTCGGCTTAGTCCCTTAGGTATAAGGGGTCGCCACAGCAGAATGAACCGCTAACTGTTCCAGCTAATTTTTTATTTAGCGGATGCTCTTTAAGCTGCAACCCAGTACTGGGAAACAATGGTACTTTCCAAAAACCTAATTGAACTTAACCTAAACTCTTACTTCTGAAAGTCTACTCTCTGCTCTGATTGGTCCAAGCCCGGTCCAAACCAATCACAAGGGAAACTATTTTACAATTTCATTAGATAGTGGCTATATTGCATGAATTTATACAATTAAAAAAACCTAATTCATACAAATTATCCAATAATTTGACGAAACTAAATTGTTAGCAACTGCACTGAGATCACATTGGATTTGTCAGATGGTCAATTGGTAATGTAAGGGTGTTCCTTCATGTTTCGATTTGATGTTTTGATGAATTCATAGTTCATCTGCTCAAACCCCAATAATGTTCTGTTTACTGTTGGAATCATGGGCAAGTCGTACAAATTATATGAATACGTTTCATGCACAAATAATTCCTTATGACTCTTATCAAGAAGTTCAGAATCAATTTTTTAGTTATTACATTGAGAAAGGGTCAGAAAAGCATGATAGGGCCATTTTAAATCAGGTTTATCTTTGGTCAGATGTGCACTACAAAGTATGGCAAATACAATGCTTACGTCTGTGAATGGTTTGTGTTTTTGATTCTTGTATGTTTACGTGTGCTTATTCCCATATGTTGCTCTGTTAAACAGAGTGTAATCTGGGCCTGCTGACATTCTGGTTCTGTATCCATGACATGTAGCTGTGCAAACCAAATAATTTTATTTTCTTTTTACATACTATATTAGAAATCTTATTTATAATTATTACGAAATGAAAAGATCTTGAAGTATATATTATTCAGGCACCTGAACGTATATAAGTAAAGGATGCAACGTTGAACAATCTGTATAAATGGTGCTGAGGAACACGGCTGTCTGGTATTGAAAGGTTTGCGCTTTATCTTTTATTATTTTCCTAATACAGGATGAAAGGTTTTAAAAGCAAGGCCTAAAATGGATCCATCTTCAACAGTCCTTTCAAAATGGCACATCCGCACAGCATGCGCTTTCCCGATATGCAATATTCACTAAATGAGCAAGGTTTAAAACTGAATAATCAACTGACCAAATGGCAGTGTGTGTCTCACTCTGTGTGTGAAGGTGTTTTGCTCAGTACGGCCATTTTGAAAGGTGGTTTTCAGTTATTAGAACCATCTGCGGACCGATCCTGCAGAATTCACAAGTTGTGCCTATTTCATTTGATATCACTGTACTTGTTTTGTTTTTGTTCAGTGGAAACCATGAAATTAAATTCTATTTGTAAATGGATGGTCTGGGTGTGTAATTGCTAATAACGTAAATATAAACAAAGGAGATCAAAGTACGATTATCAGGCTGCCGTTTTGTTTTCAGCAGAAGAAATGTTTGCTTTCAATCTCCCATGTGTCTGTATAGAGCAGGGGTGCACAATCCTGTTCCTGGAGATTTACCTTCCTGCTGAGTTCATCTCTAACCCTGATCAAACACCTGAACCAATTAATTAGGACCTGAACAGCACTTGATATTACAGACAATGTGTTTGATATGGGTTGCAATTGAAAGCAGGAAGGTAGATCTCCAGGAACAGGGTTGGCTTCCCCTGGCTCTTAGAGGCACAACTCCAGAGGCTCATTTGAGAAAGGAGCTAAAAACTCTATATTAATGCTGAAATGAGGGAAACTTTACCAGGGAAACAGGAGATATGTCAAACCCGAGGAAGCGGATTAAGTCAAACCTGTTTCTTACTTAAGTCAAACCTATTTCTTCTTACTCTTGAGTTAGTTACCATGGTAAGTATTACATTTGTTGATTGAATATGAATGGATCATAATATTGGTCCTGCATTAGTTAACCTACTCATTCCTTTATTTTTTCAGCTCAGTCCCTTATTTATTAGGGGTCGCCTCATGGAATAAACCGCTAACTATTCTGGCATATGTTACACCAGGGGTCTCAAACTGCCAGCCTGCGGGCCACTTACAGCCCGCCTTCCTCCACCTTCCGGCCCGCAATGAGATTGGGTGTTAAACAGTGGATGCCCTTCTAGCCACAACCCAGAACTGGGAAACACCCATACACTCTCACATTCAGTTCATCCAATTCACTTATGGCGCATGTCTTTGGAATGTACGGGAAACCAAAGCACGCGGAGGAAAGCAACGCGAACAAGGGGAGAACATGCAAACTCCACACAGAAACGCCAACTGACCCAGCGACTCGAACCAGCGACCTTCTTCCTGTGAGGTGACAGTCATAACCACTGAGCCACCATGCTGCCCTCATCCTACTCAGTGTTTCTCATCTGAAAGTAAGTCAACTCAAAGTTCCAGTTGGTTGAACTTCGTTATTGAATCAGGCCACTGCTGTAGAAAACATCCACCTCTACTGACTTCTGCTCACACTTTAGGTTCAGTCTTTCCCCAGTTTGATGTGAGTTTTCAACCTGGTGGTTCCATCAATAACAACGTCCCATTAAAAGTAAGTTAATTCACTTTTGTTCCCCTAATTGTCTGATTAGATATTAGTTAACAAGCAGTTGAACAGGATTCTAGTGCAGCTCCAAAATACTGATTTATTTGACGTGAACACCAAAATGGGACATTTTTATGTTTGGTCAAACAATGGACTATATGCGCGCAGCTAGTGTTAACAGCTAGCAAAAGATAAACTTCTTGTGAGTGGTTAATGTGACTATTTTCAATTTCATAAGGTTCCTTTTACATAATCGATGTTGTAACGCAAATAAAATATAATCAGTTAAAGCACAGGTCTCAAACTCAACTCCTGGAGGGCCGCAGCTCTGCACAGTTTAGCTCCAACCCTAATCCAACACAGCTGATCCAACTAATCAAGGAGATCAAGACTACTAGAGACTATTAAGCAGGTGTGAGTTGTAGGTGGTTGGATCTAAACTATGCAGAGCTGCGGCTCTCCATGAATGGAGTTTGAGACCATGGAGTTAAATAGAGCTACGCATTTGTTTAGTTCAAGCTTAAAACAAGGTTGAAGACCGTTTAAACATGAGGCTATCAGTAGCAGCAGGCTAGCGCAGAAACTCCATTGAAAATACTGGGGTAAAATGGCGGGGAAAAATACAATTTAATGCAGTGCTTCTTGTTCGGTCTGAAGCCCACTTTATATCATATATCTATCATGCAGTGACGATCACACATTTTTTAAGAAATCAGATCTTAAACATGGCGATTTTGTAATGGAACCGTTCATTAAAAGCGGTCGGGCTGACTGATTAAAAATGAAAAGTCTGCGTGCACATACAGTAATAACATCAAGTAAATGACATTTCAGAACTATGACAGGCTATTTCATTTTCTGAATCAGTATTTGTTTCTTTTGGTTACAGTGTAGCTGGACAAAATCTAAAGTAAGTAGTGACCAAAGAATATGCAGAGAGACACTTGTAGAGAGAAATGCCAGAGAGAAATGCCACTAATTAAAATGCACTGATCGCTGCATGTTAATTTTCAGAGGAGTCTGTCTCCTCTGTGGATCCGTCGCTCTCCATTTCGATCCTTTTCCGCTGGTGCAGAGACTTGCGTGGCGAGGCTTTCTTAGACATTTCCTTCTGTCCCAAAGCGCTGCTGCTGCTGTTGTTGTTGGACGTCGGGCTGATGGCGACTTGAGCTATTCTAGAACGTTCAAAGAAACACAGTGTCAAATACATTTCAGATCTACCTTCTAGCATGATTTAGCATGTGTAAAATATAAAACGATAGACCGCAAGTCCTCTTTAAGACCTTTCTTTTAAGATCCCTTTCTGTGAATGTATACTTCCAAGTTTCTCTAATATACATCACAGTACTACCTGTCTTCGACAATGTCTGAAATGTTTTGTTCAGGTAGGATATGATCTCTCTAAACCCCTCCTTTTCTGAAAGCCTACTCTGCTCTGATTGGTCAGATGGTACAGTCTGTCATGATTGGTTAACTGCTTACAGCACATTTTGAAAGCTAACAGCCATTGCAGCATGTGGATTACAGATTAAGAGACTTTGTCAGCACTTGAAAAAACATATAAACAGTCACGATGACAATAACTGAGGCTACATTTACACTAGTGTGATAAACAGTAACAATGACAATAACTGAGGCTACATTTACACTAGTGTGTTTTATTTTAAAATGGCATTTGCTCCTCATATAGACTGTCGTTTTTACTGCATTTTAGACAAATAATCTTCATCATCCACACTATACAGCCTAAAAATGACACGTGACTATTCAAGCTAATGTAAAGTAACATAAAAACAGTAGTTGTACAGAGTATTATTTATGCTATCTATTAAATTACCCATTACATTTTATTTAATTCCTACCCCCAACCCTTAACCCAACTGTCACAGTACTGTAAAAATATTAATTATTGTTAAACAGTGTCAAAAAAATGCTGCTATATTGATGTGAATATCGCACTTCTGGCCAGCTACGTACCCAATCTGGACTTTACCATCCATTTAGGCTGAAAAATACTAAAACAGGGTCTTCTTCATTTTCATTGGTTGAAAATTCAAAAGTAGTGTGGATGCCAGACGTAACCATAACAAAGCCAATATGTTTTAAAACAAAATTGCACTATTGTAAATGGTACAGCAATATCATGGCAATTCGCCAAAACTATTTTTTTTCCTATTAGCAAAAGAGTATAAATCGATATAAATGTTGCATGTTCACTTGTTTTGATATGCTTATGTTTACAAGTGATATTATGTTTTGGGATGGAGTTAGAGTAAATTTTACCAGAATATTGGTGGATAGCCATGCCTCCGATTTCATATGATTGTGTTTAAGTCAGTCTAGGTTGTTGCTAGATTGGATACAGTTGCGGCCGGAAGTTAACGAGAATAATTTATATTATTTATTAAATTTCCCATTTATTGTAATGTCTACCCTCAACCCTAAACCCAACTGTCACAGCAACGTAGAAACAGTAGTTGTACAGAGTATTATTTATGCTATTTATTAAATTACCCAATAAATTTTTTTTTTTTAAAAAGCGCAGTGCGCCATTTATGTCACTGGGAAACGACTGAATCAGCTGACCCATATTGTGCGCAAGTCGTGTTGCTGTCGATGTTATAATTGTCATTTTTATTATAATATTGTGATATTCCAGAACTGTTAAGTAATACAGCACTGGATAACTTGAAACAGCGACCACAAGTCTCTCCTTCATCATTAAAAGTTTGCCATAGTCGCCTTGACAACACAAACCCTGCTGTTACCTCAACAGAAACCCTGCAGTGCTTTTATTTAATTGAAAATGAGAAAGATGCGACTGATGTAACGCGCTTTTTCCGCTCGAGCACACAGCGCGCAATGACAAAACGCAAGGCGCCCAGGGAATACTTTAAGCCAGGGGTGTCAAAGTCAATTCCTGGAGGGCCGAAGCCCAGTTTAGTTACAACACTGCTCTAACACACTTACCTGTAGGTTTCAAACAAGCCTGAAGGACTCAATTAGTTTGATCAGGTTGGTTTAATTAGTGTTGGAACTAAACTGTGCAGAGCTGCGGCCCTTTTGGAACTGAGTTTGACACCTGTGCTTTAAGCCCTGTGGTCGCCACAGCGGAATGAACCACCAACTTATCCAGCATAAGTTTTATGCAGTGGATGCCCTTTCAGGTGCAACCCAGGCCAGTACTAGGAATCACCCATACACTCTCACATTCACACACACACACTTATACACTAAGGTCAGTTTAGCTTATTTAATTCACCTGTACTGCATGTCTTTGGACTGAGGGAAAAACCGGAGCACCCGGAGTAAACCCACACCAACGCAGAGAGAACAAGCAAACTCCACACAGAAATGCAGACTGACCCAGCCGAGACTCGAAAAGGCAACCTTTTTGCTGTGAGGCGACTGTGCTAACCACTGAGCCACCATGCCACTATCAATTTCCCGTTTTGACAAATTAGAAACTAATACGTATAACTTATATAACTAATAATTTCCTGTACGATACAATTTGTCTACAGATTTATTTGACATATAATTTAAAACTGCTCTCAGCATATTAAGAACAAAAACTATACTCTTTATCACTTTGCGTAAAGCCGATAAAAAACATAGTCTGGCGTTACGCAATTACTCACGAACATTTGTGGGTTTGTGATGCAAGACTGGAATTACTAATGATTCATTTCTGGGGTTCAGAATTGGTTCGTTAGTTTTCTAGACAACTTTTTGATCATTAGTAAGCCAATTAAACTTACAAAACAGCTATATTTCAATCTTAATGAAAGGGAGAAGGTAAAAAAGCATTTTGATAATGAACTGTTTAGAGTTAACCAGCAAGTGACTGTAATATACTCTTTGAAGCTAGTCCGTCTCTCTCACAGTCTCTCCAGCTCCTGGTCCATTTCTGGGTCAATCAGCAGGTCCGGTTTATTGGGAAGAGCCCCTGATGACAGAAGCATTCAGTTTAGACTTCTAAACAACACATCAAACATGCATACAAATGGAATTTTAAACACTTTACAAAAGTATTTATATTAATGCTCACCGATGTCTTGGTTTATTCCCTCATGTTTGGCCAAGGCCATCAGAAAGCCGTAGAAAGACACTCGCTGGGTATTGTCTAATATCTCCTTAATGGCAACAGTTGAAGGGTATCTAGGGAAAATTTCATCAATAACATTGGTAACCCTTTACCAGGAGGAACTGTTCATAGAACCATTATGACACCTTTATAATCATGACATTAGTCTTATGAATGCTTATGACAACTGTCGTTAAGTGTCATTCAATCAGTTATGTCATTTCAAATGCACAAAGAACATTGTTTGAGTCTTTGTTATGATAACATAAACCAATACTACATAAGCTCTCCGTGTCTATGTCGATGGTAATGATAAGTGATGATACACTTAATAAGTGCCAAATGCAATATGATTATTGATGTTGACAATGTACAATTGATTATATTTCTCTAAAACAGTTCTCTTTCTTGTTAGGGTGTGTGTTTACTACAGGCAGTACTACCACATATTATTAAAATATATTAAAGTCAGCGGATTTAGCCGAACAAAGTTGTTTTTAGATGCAGAAAACTGTTTGTGGAGCTTCATATGATTACAGTTGAACCACTGAAGACACATGGAGCATTTTAACAATGTTTGTGGTTTCTTTTCTACACTTTGAACGTCTCGTTGCTGTCTATGGAGGATGAGGGAGCTCTCGGATTTCATCTAAAACATTTTCATTTGTGTTCAAAAGTTGAATTTAAGTCTCAGTAGAACTGACTGATATAAGGGTAAGTGATTAAAAACTATTTTTTACATTTTTTGGGTGAACTAACTCTTTAATGAGTGGTTTGATTAAACAGTGATAACAAACTGCTATTAAGATTGTTTTTTTTTATTCAAATGAAACAGTATTCTGTCAACATCACAAGCAGATAAGATTGCTTTATATTGGGTAATCCTATAAGTAAATACTATATAAGCCTGTTTTTTATAATCTTACTTGTGTTTGAACCTTTCACAAAGTCCTTCTATACATTCGCAAAAGATGGTTGCATCTACACCCTCCTGAACGTCTGGTTCATCATTGGCTGAGCTGGATAACTGCTCCACTGAGGTGGAAGTCGGCACGATGACTGTGTTCGGGTTCTTGCCTGACAGCAGGTCCTGGTAAATGGCAGAGATGCTCTCCACAAACTCTGTGAAAATGCATGAGGATTGGATCATTCTGGAGGAAGGCAAAGCCTTGAGTAACCAAAAAACATGGTGATGTTGTCACTATAGCCTTTTGTTACTCCCAAGGTTAGAAATGCATTTGTACAAGCAAGACCTCTAAATATCTCAGCTTTCAACATGATATTTAATGTTCATTTGAAATGAATGAATTACTTATTTATTTTTAAGCAGTTTAATAAGTATTTAACTTGAACACACTTAAGCTGTCTTACATTTCTGCTGTAAACGAGGTTCTGTCACTGAAGACATTTTAAGAACATTTAAATGTATTTCAATGTCAATAAGAAGCAAAGTATGTTACTTTATTGTATTTTATTATTTATTATTTTTATTATATATCAGAATGTATAAGAAACAATATATTATAACCACTAATATATATATTAATAATTTATATATAATTAATAATATAAATATATATATATATATTCCTCTTTGGCCTTAGTCCCGTATGGGTATGGTTGCGGGGCCGGCTCTTTGGAACAAGTCCTCCATTTAGACTTGTCCATATGATAACGACTTTTTTTACACATTCCGGCCGGCCTGTCACACTCATACACTACAGACAATTTAGCCTATCCAATTCACCTGCAGCATGTCTTTGGACTGTGGGGGAAACCGGAACGCAGGAAGAACATGCAAACTCCTCACTGAAATGCCAACTTAAACGAGGTTCGAACCAGCGACCCAGCAACCTTCTTGCTGTGAGGCGACAGCACTACCTACTGTGCCACTGCTTCACCCCATTAGTGGATACAATCTATTTTAAAAAGTTTAATAACTTTTTGATTATTAATTTGAATTCACTGGCAAAAATTAAAGTACAGCTTTATTATATTATTTTATATTATTAATTATATTATGTAATATAAAATGTTATTATTTTACATTATATTGTATTAATTTAATAGCTTTTTCCCACCATTTCTTTTTACTTTTTAATCATTTTAAGTGAATATTCCATTTAATTTTATTAAGTGATCTCAAAGTACAATGTAACAGTACAGTGTATTGTTATATTATATTATATAGTTTAGCATAATTATATGGAGTATATAAATTCATTCATTCATTCATTTTCTTTTCGGCTCAGTCCCTTTATTAATCTGGGGTCGCCGCATATGTTTTACGCAGTGGATGCCATTCCAGCCGTAACCCAACACTGGGAAACACTCATAAGCACTCTTTCACACTACAGCCAATTTAGCTTATTCAATTCGCCTACAGAACATGTTTTTGGACTGTGGGGGAAACTGGAGCATCCGGAGGAAACCCACGGGAAGAACATGCATCTCCACACAGAAATGCCAACTGATCCAGCAGGGGATCGAACTAGCGACCTTCCTGCTGTTAGGCAAACAAGCTACTCACTTTGCCACTGTGATGCCCATATTTATAGTTATATCAAACAGTATAGTATAGTATGAGAATAGTATAGTGTAGTGTAGTGTAGTATAGTATAGTATAGTATAGTATAGTATAGTATAGTTTATTACCTTCATAAAAGAACTGGATTTGGAATGAATAAATAAAATCTGAGAATGACATTAGACAGTCTGTGGCATCGTCAATCAGGACAATCCTAAGATATAAAGAAAATATAGAAGTTAATCAATCAAATATAATACACTATTTCATTTAAGTTAATCAATTACATTTTAGAGTGAAATATTGGAAAGGGGGAAAAAATAAAATCATCAAACAGAAAATAAAAAACTACCTGGCAGTGTTTTGTACCATCTCAGCAGGAAAGTCAGGACACAACAGCTGTAAAAGTGAGCTGTATTCTGACATTGCCAACAGATCTGCAGATAAAAAACTGCTGTATTTATTGACTGTAAATGTACTGATGCAAGCAACTACACTAATCATTTATGGAATATCTTTAAAATAAATAAAAAGGGCACATTTGCCTATCCTCACCTCCATTCTTTCCTATCTGTCTGAAGCATTTCCAGAAGATGTGGATGAAGGATTCTCTGTTATGAGGTGTTGCCTTGATGTAACTGAATTCTCTGAAGAGCACATGATTCCCATTCTTCACACTGGTAAAACTGCAAACGATATAACATCTTAATATCATTAGTATCATGGAAGTTGGCGGTTCATACCGCTTTGGTGACCCATGATAAATAAGGTACTAAGCTGAAAAGAAAATAAATGAATAGCATCATGAATAAAAGTGTCAGAGGTCATGACTTACAGAAGACAATCTTATAATCACTAAAATGTTATTCAATAAGTATTTGTCAGTTAAATTTGAAAACAACCTCTTCAGGCATACTTGAACTGAAAGAAAAAGGTCAAATTGACTTAATCTTTCAACTTTTTTATGTTGATCTTGCCTGAAATATCTTTAAAAGAGTAAAATGATTTGAAATTTGATTAGAAAAATTAACACATTTATGACCATTTATGTCAAGTCACAGAGATATATTTTGGCAATATCTGTAAATGCATTGTATGGGTCAAACATATTAATCTTTTAATTATTTACCAAACGTCTTTAAAATATTTTAATAAAGATCATTTTACATAAAGATTTTTTTGTAAACTTCCTAGCAAAAATATATCAAGACACATTTTAATTAGTACTTAGCACTCATTTTTAATAATTCATTAATTAAATTTTTTTTTTTTGCCCTCGGATTCCAGAATTTCATATACTTGTATCCCGGTCATACAGTAACCTTTCCTAAAAAAATCATAAGACAATGGAATATTATGTATTCAGCTTTCAGATAATGCATAAATCTCAATTCCTACAAATGTATATGACTAGTTTATAGAATAATACAAATATTCCTGATTAATTTCCCCATATACATTTTTAATCACTCCATATATCTAAAAAAAAACCTCTGCAATTATGAAGCTTGCTTCACACGGGTGAGTGGGATTGACAAACCACCTGAAGAAACAACTCTTCTCTCTTTAAAAAAAAAAAAAAAACTCTAAAGGACTTAATTGTCAAAGCACTAACAGTTTCTTGGCATAATTACCCATTCTTGTGTGTATTGCCTCTTCTTGTTGAATCACTGAATGCCTCCTCTAATAATAAAAGCGTCTGCTAAATGAATAAATGTAATGTAAATATAACAACTTACTATTCTGCAAAATATCGGACCACACCAAATTGTGTGTATTCCTCCTTATGTTCAAGCAGCTGTGTGACGGCATCATTCAGATAGAAGAGGACATTCGTTTCAGCTGCAAAATAAAACGGAAAGACAATGACACGACGCTTGTGTTTTAATACCTGAAATGCAACTGTCCGTCATTCTGTAAGCAGACATTTTAGAAAATCCGGACATCATCAAAACAGCGACTCACACCGTAAAAATAATCATTATAACTTACCTAAATATTCGTCAACGGTGAGGTTGAATCTCTCCGTATTCATTTTCATGTTGTGTTATGGCTTTAAATGATTCTTCTGCTCGTGGATACAGATGCTGTGCATGACTCTGCTGGTAACCCGGTCAGAATGAAGCTGCTTTGGTCATCAGTTTGCCCACTCTGCGATGATGACACTGCTGAGCCACATTAAACTGCAGGTATTAACGTTAAATCAGTTCCATTTAAAAATTTATTTATTCTCCTATTTTAAAAAGAAAAAATCACTGTATGTCGATATTTGTGTATTTTTATTTCTAAATGTGTGGAATTACCTCAAGGTCTTGGCTTAAATTGATACAGGGAAATAAAGCAACCAATAAACGACGCGGATTTGCAGCACGTGACATAACACGGAAGTGAGCTCTGGGTGGAGACTCGTCATCGTTTTTGAAAAATGCTGGCCTGTGTTTCGTCAGTTTTTTTGTTGACGCAGCCGCGGCTATGGAAACACGCGCATGCGCAGCGCACATGTTTTACTGCGCCCATTTGGCTGTCCTTTTAAACATTTTAAACACTCATCCGCGAATAATTATCATTTTTGTGCTGACACGGTGTGTGTACATAACGATTTCAATCGCAAAGATGTGAGTGTCTATGTAAGAATAACAAGCTCAACTGACTGCAGTGGACTATAAACTGTTAAAAACTTGATTTTATAAAATACATGGATTTAATATAGATATTAAATAATATCAATTAGATATTTATGAATTATATTATTTAAAAATACGTCACACATCTGTGACTTTTAATAACTTAATAAATGACAATACTATTCTGTTGCATCGTTAATATTAATAAATTATTTTGCTATTAAATATGTTTATATGTATATATATATATATATATATATATATATATATATATATATATATATATATATATATATATGTGTGTGTGTGTGTGTGTGTGTGTGTGTGTGTGTGTGTGTGTATTATATTATAATAGTATAATATAATAGTATTATATATTTACCAATTATACATAACTTAAATGGAGGATTAAACCTGCGAAAACAATAAATAAATAAATATGCAAATATATAAATAAATAAGTAAACAAATCTATAAATGTCTGCATAAATAAAATAATAAATATATAAATAAATGTATATACAATTCCACAAATTCCTGCATAAATAAATATATGAATAATTAATAGTAGTACTAATAATAGTGCAGGCAGGTAAATAAATACATAATTTACACGAATGTTGGAAGAATACGAAATGCTAAACCCCTTTCAAACATTTATTCATTCATTCTCATTAGCATATTAACCTGAGGAAAAGTAGATATTTATTTTTTTTATTTATGTATGAATTTCTGGATTTATTTACCCATTTATTAATATATTTGAGTATTTATTTATTGATTATTTATTGTTTATGGATTTATTGACTCATTTATTAATATATTTGCTTTGGAATATAATATATTTGGAATTATTAATTGCTATATTAAGATGTTTGTTTGTTAAAATATATAAATGCATATTTTAGTTGCTTTATTAAGATGTTTGTTTGTTAAAATATTTAAATGCATGTAGTTATTGCTTTATTAAAATGTTTGTTTGTTAAAATGTATAAATAAATGTATTTATTGCTTTATTGAGATGTTTATTGTTGACAAAACATGATAAAACAATAAAATATTAAACACGATCAATGTGTTTTTTCCTGCTAACTTTATTAATCCACACAAACACACTCAAAAAATTCCCATCATAAAAACCATCGACTGTAAAAGATAAAAACAAGTTCAGCCTATAACAAACGCCGTGTTGGTTTGAATGAAGGCTAGGCGTCTCCTCCCTCTCTCTCCCCGCCCTCGGAGGCGTTTCAAAGCCTGGAGAGTAATGACCAAATATCGGTCCCAGCTGATGAAGATCGCCCTGTCTTCCCTCTCTAAAAGCAGGTAACCAAATGTATCTATTTGCTTGTGCCCGGAGAAGATCAGAGGTTGTCACACGAAAGCCATTTTAAGCGTTTTCTGCTTCGTTGTACGTTGCTGCGTTTTATTTGAGGGCCTCGGTTTTAGTGACGGAGACTGAAAAATATCAAGCCGCTTTTATATCTGTGACAAACAATAGTGTGAGTCAGAGTTTTCACTTTAACGTCACATATCAGGTTAAATTGTGTGAAATTAAATGTGTCATGGGATGTGTTTATTGTGAAAATGGCGATATTTGTTTAAATCTCTTGATGGGTTAAGCTGTTGCAGGACTAACAGACAGTCAGTCAGGGCCGCGTATGTGCTAACGGCTAACCGGTATATTTAAATTTACGCATATTTAAACCTCGAAACTGAATACACGATACGCAGAAATGATTTTAGATGTGTCTATGGATTACATAAGTGGTGTCCTTTTTAAAATTGACTCCCATTTAAACATTTTATGCTGTAAATAGCGACTGCCATATCGACAGCAGCTTCAGGTCACTAACGGCTCTGCTGAACCCCTAACGTTATAGTGTTTTCACATGTGATGAAGCACAATAACGATTTCGTAACCAGTAAACTGCTCTATTTCTCCATTTACGCAAATATGTCATCTAAATGCATAAAATTGCGTGGAACACCCATTGTTTGCTTTTTATGTTTGTTTTTGGGCGGGCGGAATTGGCGGCACTTTATGCAAGCATTATCTTTCTATTAGTGCCTATATGCTTTTAAATGGTGTTTTCACTCACTGAAAGCTTGAGCTTTGGTGTTTAAGGATTTACTTTTAGGCTCGGGTCGATATGTAACATGAAACCAGGCTCTCTTCGGAGATGCATTAGTCAGTGGATGCTCTGATCGCCTCTAGATTTGGATGATGTTTGCATTATATGTGAAGTGAGATTGTTGCAGGCATTTCTTCTGCCTGGCTGGAGATTGTTGTTGAAATGCGTGCGGATGATGTTGCAGAAGTTCTTAGTGCCTTGTTTACGGTGTCTAGGTTCCCCATTCCATCACTGTTTTATTTGTTCTTGATGCTTTAGATGGTTGAGATGTTTGTTGCATGCATCATGTGTGCGCTCACACATCTCTATTTAACTTTATGATCCATGTATTTGGGTTTTTAAAATGTGTTCTTTGCATATTTATAAGACTTTTTCATTAAAAATGTGCTATTCTGCAAACATATCTTCTGTAATATTCTGAATGTTGAAGTCCAGTTCAAAATATTTGCTTCATTTCTTTAGTTTTAGACAATTTAGACAATTTTGGGTATCTGTAATTGCGAAATATGATTTCTCTTTTTTTGTACAATAAATTGTCTAACACAAATTATCAACACCATTTCTCTGTAAAAACTTTAAGAATATAGATCAGGGGTGCCCAAACTTTCTAGTATGAAGGCCAAAACCCAAATATCATTGATAGCCGTGGACCTGAAGATAAATATACCAAACTAGTTTACGTTGAAGTCACCATTGGTAATTTCCTAATTTTTTTTTTCTGATATTCATAAAGTGACAACATTACTTTGAATCGTATTCAATTATGCAGAATAACTTTTCTGTATTTATTAATATTTATTATAACACATGGAAGTTCAGTCAGTGCTGAATACACAGTCAAACGGAACCTGCCTTTGCCTTTATCCGTTACAGTATGTACATTTTAAACTAAATCTGATTGATACCATTTAATTGAAACATTTAATTTTTTTTTGTACATGTAATACAACAAATAAAACAAACAAATAAAAGTTCATTTTGAATTAGAAATGACAGCCTCTAAACCATCCTCATCATTCTTCCTCTCAGATGCTATGTTAAAATCAAAGGTTACCATAGGGCAGCTTTGGCCCACAGCCCCTAGTTTGGACATCTCTGGTATAGATAATGTTAAAACAGTCAACTGTGCTGTTTGTTTGTGACTCAAGTGGAGCTTTGCAACAAAAATAATAATATTGACATTCCTTTACAAATATAGATTACAATTAAAATCTACAGAAAATTTAAATTTGATAACCTTTTTAAAGTGCACTTTGAATGTTTTCTTTACACTCAAAAAAAACTTGATCTACATGAAACAAATGTTGTCACCTTAAGGTAATAGTTCACATAAAAATGTTAAATGATTCCCCATTTACTCATCCTGAGGTGGTTTTTAATCTTTTGACTTTTTCTTGTTGAACACTAAAGAGAACTTTTTGAAGAATTTTTCTTCAAATTATGGAATAATTTTAACAGAATAATTTCTGTTAAAAACAAGATTAAAACTCAAATATTTAGGAATGAGTAAATGGTGACAATTTTTGAGCGAACTATCCCTCAAAGTCTTAAAGTTGGTTTTATTGCTGTAGATTCATGTTCTGCTTTGTATGCCATGCAAGCAACCAAAGTTTCCCCTTCTTTTGTTTAGTTGAAAAGATCAGACAGACTGAAAACAACCATGGGGGATGACAGTGAATGGATGAAGTTACCCATCGACCAGAAATGTGAACACAAGGTGAGTGATCCTGGCTGCTTTTATATTTTGGCCCATCCAAAATCCCCTGACGGTGTAACAGGAACAGCTTGTGGTCGAAGAACCATACTGTCAGCGGTTCCCTCAACCCCTTTAGATATTAATGCATGCAGAACGCTGGTATAAACACAAACTTTACAGTAATCAAAAACCTCTGATGTAATTAATCTGTTACTTTTACGTGAACAACAAGTTTGGTATGTGGTAGTTAACGTTTGCAAGCCGGCAACTAGTACCCAGTAGCTCTGTCACAATTATTAAAGGGATAGTTCACAAAACATGAAAACTCTGCCATCTAGTTAGTTTCTTCCTTTGCACACAAAAGGTGTGAATTTGGGGGAATTATCTCTTTAATTTATCGTCTGATTATGGTTATTTCATCTTTTTGCTCTTATTTGATTAAAAATTCATCCTTGTACAATAAAAATAAAACTTATTTTGCATGTTAAGTTGAAATACTCTTTAGTATTTACTTTTGTTAGTGTTTTCTCTGCAGGTAATTTCCGACTGTTTCCTGAAGTAGTGTAATTTTAGGTGGCGTGTTGTTTACATGTGACATCATCTCAAAGTTTAAACTGATTGGATGATGGTGTGAGAGATTGATTTACAGCCAGTTACATTCCGTCCTTCAACATACCTTAAGTTCATTCATTCATTTTTTTTTTTTTCTTGCTTGAGCTTGTAAAGAGGCGGGATGATCTGTGTGGTAGTGATAAGTAGATCACACTACATTTTAATATGATTCTAAAAACTTTAGCTTATTTTGTCAGATGAATTGGTTTTAATAAGCTGTGCTTGATTATCCGCCTGACATTTGTGCATAGAGAACATTAAGAATGATGAAGCGGTGTCCTCAGTTTATGTATTTTGTATTATAAATAATGACTTAAATGTATGTTGGCCTCTAAAAAATCTGGGTCGTTTTCCTCAAGCCATGAACTCATTTATTTGGTCGATTGATCTTCTGCTTTCTTGTAGGTTTGGAAAGCCAGATTAAGTGGATACGAGGAAGCATTGAAGCTTTTTCAAAAGCTAGACGAGAAGAGCCCAGAATGGAGCAAATACCTTGGACTTATCAAGAAATTTGTAACAGAATCAAATGCCGTAGCCCAACTCAAAGGATTGGAGGCAGCACTTGCATTTATTGAGAATGCACACGTGGCTGGCAAGTAAGTATCTGTATCCAGAAACCATCATAAAAGCAGTTTATATGACTGTACTCCTTAAGATTTGTTTGTGAAGGATTCATTTCAGCGCTCATTTTTCCCTCAATCCTTGAGAAGCTTTTATTTGGGATGACGTTTTGAAAGTGCTTTGTGTTTACAACTGTTATTGGAACAAAGCAGAAATGTGATACCTGGTGGAAGTCTGTTTCTAGATCAAGCTAGAGTCATCAGGCAAAAGTATCAGTCTTGCTTGTATGTACACAGTAGCTGTTGTCTTTTCTGGACATTTTGGTCAATCTCAAGTGTATCTGATTGCAGACTGCAAGACGGGGCGTAACATGAAGGGGTGTAACTTGTAGTAAGTCAGAGAGGCGTAACTTGCAGTTATCGATATCCCATTGAACTATGCGAGATGTCACAATGAGATGTTGTTGGCAAGTAGGGATGTCCCGATACAACGTTTTAACTTGCGATACAATACTGATAATGCAGCCTTCAGTATGAATAATCAGCACAAATCATGAATACTTTACTTTTACCCATTTCGTTGAATGTATGAACGGTTAGATCAAACTGAGAACAAAAGTCAGCAACAGTCAGTATGGGAATAAAACAACCAATTTATTAAATATTGGTTGCATAAATGTAAACCTTTCACATAAGAATATATTTTTAAAAATTAAAGAATAAATATTAAGACGCTGAAAAATATCTTAATTGAATAAACAAAAATATATTTTTTGACAAAATACTAATTAAAGGTCACTTAAAGTTTTTTTTTTACCATCAGCATATGGTAGAAACAGCTGAGAGCAGGAACAAGAAAGAAATATTGTTAATTGACCAACTGCTTAAGGTTGAGGCTCCAAAGTTTCATCTTCACACACAGCTTCTTGATAAATTTTGATCCAGTTTCGAGCTGAAAATTATCTTTCACACTGGGCAGCAAAAATAGGGAGTTATTGCTACAAGTTAATAAAAATGTGCAGTATGGTAAGTACAAACATTTACAAGATCAGAACTATTTAATCTGTGTTTGTAAAATAAGAAGGTTATGGCATTCGTTGCCTTGTGTTGCTAAGCAGCGTATACAAAACAATGTAAAGATGGCTTGATGTGAAGTAAATAAACCTGTAGAGATGTGCGGCTGTTGTAGCGTCACAATGGATTTCTATCGTAATATACCGTAACTTAGTGAGAAGAGCATGTTAAATCCTAAAGGGACTTTGCTAGCAAGCAGTGTTGTGATCGCATGGGACTGCTTGATTCAGAGATTTTTAAAGTCGTCCGATATAGTTTTTTTGGGCTGATATCAGACGTGTTTCCTATATCAATATTGGATCGGGAGATCCCTATTGGCAAGATGGTGGAAATACTTAACAACGTTTTCGCCGAATGTTTTCATGAGTTTTCTCCAAATTTATCGACAACCAATTCAATTGATATTTTGTTATATTCAGTAATTTAGCAACTCAACCATGCAACTTGCTGACTTCTTCCGTTTTGTCATGACCTACTCGGTATTGCCTCCTGTGGTTGCGAATAACAGTACAATGGTGAGCATGTCAAGTATGTGATGGTTGGAAGGTGTAGATGTTAATAACGATGGTGGTCTAGGATGGTGTGAAGTAGGTGTAGACATTAATAACTGATATACAGCGACATCTTGCTGACAACATAGTTTTGACATGTTGGTCTCAGTAACTTAAAGTTACGCCCCTTTCCCTTCTCGAAAATCTAGATTATTTTTAGCAATTGTTTATACTTTTGCTTATAATTGCCGTTTTATGTTACATGACCATCTGTCTAAATAGTTGAAAGGAATCCTGTTAGTTATTGTAAATGGTTTGACTTTTAGTATTGATTGTTTAATAGAGCTTGGATAAAGGAATGATGTAAAAACGAGCGATTCAGTTCCAGTTAGACTTGAGTTTTATTGTGATTTAAAAAAAATAATAATTTTCAGTTTGATTTGAAGATTTACGATTGTCAAGTTTTATGCGATCAAGAATATTGTCTACATTTTAGTTTTGGTTATTTATAGTAATGGAAATGGTTTTTATGGGTGTTTTTTAGCTTGGTACAGTTGGTTTGATTTAAAAAAAAAAAAAAAAAAGGCTTGTGCGATTTGCTCCAATAGTGCAGTTCATTTGAATCCACGTGAACCCTGCTGTGAGATGATGAAGAATGTCTGTAGCTGTGTTTGAAACAGCATATTTCCATACTATATAGTACGCTAAAATTAGTATAGTAGCCAAGTAGTATGTCCGAATTCACAGAGTTTGAAAATCAGTATGCGAGAAGTACCCGGATGACCTACTACTTTTGGCGAGATTCTGAAGAATTCCATGTACGCTGGGCGATCCCATGATGCTCCTTGAGAGAATTTATGAATAGGGTGAAGCAACAAAAAGACGTGGGTAGGTCACGTGACCTGACAAATTTGCGGGATATAGTATGTCCATATTCCATTCATACTGCTCACTTTAATGCTGTATTGAACTTTTAAATTCAAATGCAGTACCTGCTGAGTTGTAGGTGGTTTCGGATGCAGCTTGTCTCTAAACGGCATGCTAAATAATTCAATGATTTGAAATGTGGTTGATTATTTAAATGTTACGTTAATTTCTTTTCTCTGAAGCAATATAAAACAATACAACTTTGGAAAGTGAACATCGACGTTTTACTGTTATATAAAGCAAATCAGATTTTAAAAATGTTAACAAATTGATCAAATAAATGTCAGCACCACTTTGCTCCAGGTTGATAAATTTACACCACTGAAAACAAAAATTGTTCTTGTTACAGATTTGAAAGCAATCAAAAACAGCACGACCAATTGGTTTTAGAGATGAGCGTTGACACGTGACAACTTTTCTTGATGTGCAGAAACGTCTTTCAGAGGCTGTGCTAGTGGCAGGCACAAATACTTTTACATGCTCATTTATTGCAAACCATTTGTAATTATTTTGGTTATTCTGATCAATTGCACAGGCCTTGTTCGCAATAAACAAGCAAACAGATCTTTGAAAACTCTTGTTCTACTTTCTCATAAACTCTGCAGCTAGTCCATAGCACACTATTGTTTTGAATGATCAATAACATTTATTGCGTTCATTGATATACATTTTTTTTTTTTTCTTCGGCTTATTCATGAGAAGTCGCCACAGCGAAATGAACCGCTAACTTTTCCAGCACGTTTTCTGCAGTGCCCTTCCAGCTGCAACTCGGAACTGGGAAACATCCATACACTCATTCACATACATACTTTAAGGACAATTTAGCTTACCCAATTCCCCTGTACCGCATGTCTTTGGACTGTGGGGGAAACCGGAGCACCCAGAGGAAAGCCATGTGAACACTGGGAGAACATACAAACTCCACAAAGAAATGCCAACTAACCAGTGCTAACCACTGATCCACTGTGTCGCCCTCAGTTTCAGGGCAAATACACATAAAATCAATTTGTTGTGTCTTTTGGATTCTCTTAAAATGACTGTGTGAACACCACGCGAACCTGGACTAAATCTATACCTTTTTTCTTGGTTCTTTCCAAGCAGTCGAAAAAACCTATACTAGTGTGAATGCATCCTGATTTCGTACACTAAATTGGAAAGAAACTTGACAATAGGAAATGATTTGTGGGATATGGAGATTGGTGTACATATTAGCTTGATGGGATCTAATAGAGTGGAGTCTTGTCTTTCAGGACAGTTGGTGAAGTAGTTTCTGGAGTAGTCAACAAAGTGTTCAACCAGCCCAAAGCTCGAGCCAAGGAGCTGGGGACTGAAATCTGCCTCATGTACATAGAGATCGAGAAAGCAGAAGTGGTGCAGGATGAGCTGATTAAAGGACTGGATAACAAGAACCCCAAGATTGTCGTCGCTTGCATTGAAGCACTAAGGAAAGCACTTTGGTGAGTTTGCAAGTATTGGAAACTAGTTAACCAGATGTGGCGGTCATTGTCACTTACTTGCTGCCACTTATTCAGCATTAAATGTGTTCCTCTTTTTTTAGTGAATTTGGATCAAAGATCATAACACTTAAGCCTGTCGTGAAAGTGTTGCCAAAACTATTTGAGTCTCGAGAAAAGGCAGTTCGAGACGAAGCCAAATTACTGGCAGTGGAGATTTATAGGTGGATCCGCGATGCTTTGCGAGCGCCTCTCCAGAATATCAACTCTGTACAGGTGAGACCTATTCCGTTATGAAGATATCAAATGAATGTTTTGGCATGTTGTAATATTATTGTTTGATTGCTTGCTTTCAGTTGAAAGAGTTGGAGGAAGAATGGGTGAAAGTGCCAGCTACAGCTCCTAAACAGATTAGATTCTTGCGCTCTCAGCAGGACCTGAAGGCCAAGTTTGAGCAGCAACAGGCTGCAGGAGGAGATGAAGCAGACGGTGAGAATAAAACTGCACTGTCACCACATTTTCACATCTTCATGAAAATGTAATGAAATGGTTGTCAACTCTGTTATAAAGAAAAGGTTCACCCAATGATTTAAAACATTAAGTATTCACTCATCCTCCCCTTCCAAACCTCTGAGCTTATCTTCTGTAACTTTAGAAGAAATTTGACTATTTTTGAGGAATGCTGAAAACTGGTGGGCTCCATAGTATATTTTCATACTGTAGTTGTCAATGGCTGACAGTTTCTAACAATTTTTTTAAATATACAGTAGTCAACATTTGAAGTGGGCTATCACCTTTCTTTAAAGTTGATATCCTAAAACAGGGGTGGCCACACTTTATTTTTATTTTTTTTATGGAGTGCCAAAAGCCAAACTTGATTGAGGCTTGTAGGCCGAAGCAACCAAAAGCAATCTCATTTATGACGTAATGGACTTGCGCTAGTTTTTGCCTTTGATTTGTCTTTTGCCTACCCAGTCTTCTATCTGTTGAGTGACAGTACTTACATTTTTAAAAGTCTGATTTAATTGAAACATTTAGTTTTTTTTCCTGTAGTTCAGCAATAAAACAAGCAAATAAGGTTACATTTAAATCAAATTATAAATGACGATTTCTTTCAAAGGCATCTGCCCAACCCTTTTCTCTTCTCAAATAGGATGGTGGCTCAAATCAGAGGTTACAATAGGCCAACTTTGACCTGCGAGCTCTACTTTGGGCATCTCTGTCCTAAAACAATTGATCAGCACCTATTCTTATAACCATTTTGAAAAACATTCGATTCACTTCGAATTACATTCAAACTACTACTGTAGTTCAACAGAAAATAGCTAAAAATTTATTTGAAATTACTTGTGTATAAATTTGACGTTTGCTTAAACCAGAATTGTACATTTGAAGAAAAATGGTCTATAAACTAGCCTTTATAATTAACTTGTAGGCACTAATATTTTTCATATAGTTAAATCACTTCTATTGTGTCAGTCTTTGTGGTCTTTATCTGATAAATCTACATCAGTTGCCATAGTAATGAACTAGTTGCCAGCACAAAGCCAACTGACGATATAGGAGTGGCTGTCATTGATGAAAAAAGAGGACTACACTGAAGCATTTGCTTATACATCTAGCTGTTATTATGACTAAATCCGGTTTTAGGAAGCTATTAAATTGCGGCAGCTTATGTTTATATATCATTTAAAAAAACATTTTTAGAAATACATTTATTTTAATAGTCATTTTGGTTCAGTTTTAACTGTTTTGTTTCATTGATTGGATGCATTAATTTCTTCCTGTAGGAGACGATGAAGAAGTGGCTGAAGCTGTTCAGGTTGATGCTTACGAGCTCCTGGAAGCTGTTGAGATCCTTTCAAAGCTTCCCAAGGATTTCTATGAAAAAATTGTAAGTCAGAAATGAGTTCTGTTTACATGATCCTTGGATGCTGTTTGAACTACTTTATTTTGATGTTGTAACCTTCTTGACCACAGGAAGCAAAGAAATGGCAGGAGAGGAAGGAAGCGCTGGAAGCAGTGGAGGCTTTAACTAAAAACCCAAAATTAGAGAGTGGAGACTATGGGGACCTGGTCCGAGCACTAAAAAAGGTAGGAGTCTTAGTGAGATTTTGGTTAATAGGGTAATCTCTGTAAGACCAATAAGTAAAACGCTCTTTTGTTGTAGGTTATTGGGAAAGATGCCAATGTGATGCTAGTGTCCATGGCAGCCAAATGCTTGGCTGGATTGGCAACAGGACTGAGGAAGAAGTTTGGGACATATGCAGGTCTTGTAAGTGCTTTCATGGCTTAAATTGGCACAGACAATTTCACTTATTTTTTCCTAACTTATTTTGTTGCGTTTTTAATTAAAGTGCTGGTAATGTGTATTTTTAAAAAATATCTAATGTAGATGTTCTTCAGTGTAAACAGTCTGCAAAATTGTTAGTCAAACTGCATAAGAAATGTATATTGTGTCTTGAAAGTAAGAGTCAGCTCATAATCACGTTAAGTCATTACGTTATCAAATCTTTAACTGTTTACCGAGCTACGCCAACGCTATCAAAACAAATCTGCATAACCAGGCATGAACAGACCTTTTTTACAAGATGCCGAATGGTCATTCTAGGTTGACTCATTTGTGGTGCATTATTTAATAAATACAAATGTAATTACTGTCAAGCTGCTCTCACAACAAAATATTTTATTAGAACGTGAAAGTTTTAGTAATATTAGACACAGTTTTTATAATAAACACTTTGGATGTTTTTTAAAGGTATCATCAGGACAAATTAAGTTATTTATCAAGTATTAAACTGAAAAATCATGATTAACTTTTAATATACAGTAGGGTTGTGTCAATAGACTATGTCCATTGTCCATTGCGATGGCTGATATACATCACGATCCTTGCCCCACCCCTGTCGCAGCAGCAACCTGCTTGCAAAAAATACACACGGCCCCATTTACACTAATACGTCTTAGTTTTAAAATGGCATTTTAAAAAGAAAACGATCGATGTCCAGTCCAGCATTTCTGAAAAGCCTCCTTCCACAAAAAACTGCTGAAAACGCACATCACGTGACCACACACACTGTCATGCGCTGCAGATTCTGTTGGCTGTTCACCTTTTTTTTTTTTGTTTTTTTTTTTTTTTAAAGTTTGACGACGCCATTATAACAACATGAATCACTCTGCCTATTCATGCCGTAGTCTCGCAGAAAAATTGATCGACAGGTGGTAATTTGTCCGTTACTTATCTTTATTTATTTATGATTTGGTTATGGGTTAAACAAAGGCCATGCGGGTCAGGTAGTTGAAACTGTATGCTACATAAACTTTATTCATTATAAATTAATTAATTATTCATAAATTATTAATTGACCTCTGCCTACGACATTGATGCCATCGTCCATCGCAATGTTTCACTTTTGCCATTGTATGATGCCAAATTGGTCAACATCGCTCAACCCTATATACAGTTTTTGGGAATTTTATTTATTTATATTGTTTGTGTATCATCTCTTACTAAAATATGAAGTTCTTCATGTATCATGTAATTTTTTTTTGTGTATGTGTCTTGCTTTAAGTTGCTGATGTGGCAATAAATAAATACATCTGCATAATGCCTTCCTGGCCACAAAGTATAAAAATTCTGAAATGGGTAAATCATTTCTGTCACTGACTAAATCGGAAAGACCAATTGAACAGAGTTGGCCAGGTGACTAATCAGAGCAGTTTGCTAATGGAAAGGTGGGGCTTATAAACCGTAAGCCCCAAATAGATTCAAATAACCATTTTTAAATTATTTTAAAATGATCCTTATATTAAATGTATATTCTGAAAAGTAAAAAAACAATCAAGTATTAGGACGCTAAACAGGACTCACAGTCTGCAGAAACACTAACATACTCTCTTTGTACATGTAATCAGAGGGGGAAGTCCCGCCCACTAGTCTCTCATTAGCATAAACAGCCCTGAGTGAAAAGCAGCTGTCTGCCATTGATCCCCTTTAAATGCCATATGACCTGTTTTTTTAATAGATGGTAATTTGCTCTTAATTTATTTGAAGGTGGTGCCAACCATCTTGGAGAAGTTTAAGGAGAAGAAACCTCAAGTTGTTCAGGCCTTACAGGAGGCCATCGATGCAGTCTTCCTTACTGTGAGTATTTGAAAAGCATGGTGCTAGTTAGCCTTGGGCCTTAACAGATTTGAGACTTGGATCAGTAATTTATGGCATAACCTTTGCAGACAACCTTGCAAAACATCAGTGAGGATGTTCTGGCAGTGATGGACAACAAGAATCCTTCCATCAAGCAACAGGCCTCACTGTTTCTCGCCAGAAGTTTTCGTCACTGTACCCCAAGCACATTGCCAAAAAGCGTTCTGAAGCCCTTCTGTGCTGCATTCCTCAAGGTATCTATTCATCTTCAGCATTGAAACATGTTCCTCAAACATGCATCTCGGAGTGTTGATTTAAGGTTGTTCCACTTTTTTTTTCTTTCTTCTGAGTAGCAAGTAAATGATTCTGCTCCTGAAGTCAGAGATGCTGCTTTTGAGGCTTTGGGAACGGCCATGAAGGTGATAGGGGAGAAAGCAGTCAACCCATTCTTGACTGATGTTGACAAACTCAAGTTGGACAAGGTATAATGAAATGTTAATGAGTGTTATATTAAAATTCATGTTCTGGTGGATACAAAAAAAATTGAATTTAAATGATTAGTTTTAGAAGTGACTACGTTTGATGTTATAAGTTTGCAGGATGAACTTTAAATTTAGACAAGTGGTTTTGTTTATGCTTTTTCTAACTAAAATTTTCAATGCCAAGATATGTAAAAATGTTCATAAAATGTCAATAATGGTAAGATATGTGAAAATGTTCAATATTATTTTTATTGTATGCTTTATCTTCCCTGTAGCTTTTGAAATATAACAGAAAAAGTGATCATACTAAATTAACAAATGACTAAACTTGCTTATAAATGGGCAAAAGCATGAATGTTGAACTAGTATAGAGATTTAAATAATCAGTGTTTTGTAGCTGCACTGTGATCCTTTAAATCAATGGTCTCATTCAATTTTTGGAAGGCCACAGCTCTGCATAGTTTAGCTTCAACCAGCTCCAGTTCGTTGCTGAATTTAAGACCTGTGCTTTAAATCTTTTAATGTGCCATCTAATGTTTCTAGTACCAAATCTTGCCAGGCATATTTAGAACATGTACTGTTGTTAACTAAATTGCTATATAATGTATGGGAATAAATGTAAAGTTGCACGACAAAAATGTTAAGTTCGACCTTTATTTGAATAAAAGCAAATGTTCCAGCCAGTCAAATAAGAGCAAACTTCCATCTTGTGCCAGTTTTGCATGCAAATGTGCATCAGGGAGTCAGGGACTGTGGGTGAAACTGAACTAGTGCAGAAGTTCATGACTTTCCTTTCACGTTTCATGCATAATCAGATAAAAGAGTGTGCTGATAAAGTGGAGCTCATTGGAAAGAAAGGAGGCGGCGGAGGAGAGAAGAAAGAGAGACCTGCTGCAAAAGCATCTCCACCTGTTGAAGCACCTGCAAAAACCTCAGGGCCTCCTAAAAAATCAGCTCCAGCTAAGGTATATGGTTATTTAATCATATTTGTATGCTACTTCTGCTATTGCTGCTGATAAACATGCACACATTATACATTAAAATAAAAGATTTTTTTTAATAATGAAAACGCCTTCAAGGATGATTTTAAAAAGGTATCACCAGGAAGAATTTGAAGTCAATTATCAAATATTGAATCGAAACGTTATATTGAACTTTTTAATGTTGAATGTTGTTTTTTTTCTAATGATATAAATTTTGTGTATAGCGTCTTAAAAGAAATATGAAGTCATGTAATGTTTATGTATATTGATCATTCCCTGAAAATCCTTTAAATTGCTAATGTGAAAGTAAATAAATAAACAAGGGCATTAAATGACTTATTATTTGTGGTTTAACAAAAACCATTGACAAGTTTAGAGACTTTAGTAGTAAACAAAGTTTTTTGTTTTACCATTTCTTTTTTAATAAACGTTGCTGTTTGATCTAATTTATTTATATAATTTTTAAAATGTATATAATTTTTGATAGCTTATTTATACTCCTAAAATTATCAGGACAATAAAAAATGTATTTATTAAATTATTGTAAATATTTGATTAAACAGTAACATTAGGTTTTTGTTAAACTGTTATTGTTATCATAAAATTTGTGATTTTATTGACTAATAATTATTCGTATAAAAATTTACATGTTTTAATGTGTCTAATCTTAAATGTAAATAAAGAATAAGTTAATCTTTTAGATGATTTTGTCTAACATTTAATTAACATGACATGTATTATGAAATCTCTATTTCCAGCGAAGCTATTATATCATAATTTTGTGCATTGTTGTTTTTATTTAAGCTCGACTGACTTAATTTTATCATGTTGCAGGCTGCAGGACCTCCCAAAAAGGGCAAACCTGCTGCGGCCCCGAGTGCAAAGTCCAAGAAAGCTCCAGAAACTAAGGAAATAATCGAGACCGAGTTATCTGTAGGTTTAAAATTTGACCTATTTAACCATTTTTATTCATCTTAAAAGAACGGTATAATGCAAAGTTGGTTATTGTGTGTTAATCAGCCTGAAGTGTGTGAGGAGAAAGCAGCCGCTGTTCTCCCAGCCTCCTGTATGCAGCTGCTGGACAGCGCCAACTGGAAGGAGAGACTTGCCAGCATGGAGGAGTTTCAAAAGGTCACTTGTGGATTTTTTTATTTTTCTCCATCTATTTGATAGAGATTTCAATTTGAGGGAACGTGCTCTAAACTTGTCTTGGTTTTCATTCTACTCAGGCCGTGGAACAGATGGACAAATCTGAAATGCCCTGCCAGGCTTTAGTCAAGATGCTGGCGAAGAAACCTGGGTGGAAAGAGACCAACTTCCAGGTAGTTCTCTTTAGTGTGATGCTGTTCATAGTTGTCTGATATTTGTTGTGGTGTTGATTTCCAATGTGCTTTCTTTGTTAGGTGATGCAAATGAAGCTCAGCATCGTGGGGCTAGTTGCACAAAAGGGCCAGTTCTCAAAAACGTCTGCACTGGTGGTTCTGGACGGCCTGGTTGATAAGATTGGAGATGTGAAGTGTGGAGGTAACGCTAAAGAGGCTCTCACTGCAATCGGAGAGGCCTGTTCTCTGCCATGGACTGCTGAGCAGGTTGGTGGTTTAATCTAGCAAGAAATTATTAATAGATTAATATAATTATATAATATATTTATATGTATATTTATTTATTTATTTATTTATTATAAATAAAGGTAGTTGTTTGTTTTCAGTTTTACAGTTACACGCTCCGACTAAAAATAATAATATATTTGACAAGTAATCACAAAATCAATAATTTATTATTAATACACATCTATTATAATTTTACTCTTAATTGGGCTTTAATTGAAATTGTTAGACTGATTTATTGAATAAGTTAAAGTGGTTCTTGTAAACATTTTACATTTATAGCATTATATGTCAATATAATGTTTAATAATTATAATTATTTATTTATTTTTTTAAAATATTAAAATAAAATACAATATACATGGATTAATAAATGTGGATATATATATATTTTTATCTATACATATAATTATGGCGTAATAGCATTTATTATTATTTTTAATTTTACTGTTACATGCTTATCCTTGCCAAATATAATAATAGTAATAATAATAATAACAATAATATGGTTTAATAAATGTAGACATGTCTACAATAGTCATTATACACTGTTTAATAAATGTAGACATGCATACATTTGTTTTAAGCTTGAACTTCAGTATTTTTCAATTCAACTTGCAATTATTATATTTAAACAATTGTCCTTGTTTCTGAACTCGCAGGTTGTCTCGATAGCCTTCGCTCAGAAGAATCCTAAAAACCAAGCAGAGACGTTGAACTGGTTGGCCAATGCCATGAAGGAGTTTGGATTTGCAGGGTGAGCACTGTATACCTGAACTTTCTCACTTAAGATCAACCACATAAAAAAATAAGTATCCTCATTTCTAACTTCTAACCCATTATCCAGAATAAATGTCAAGGGATTCATCAACAACGTCAAAACTGCTCTGGGTGCCACAAATCCTGTGAGTCATGATTTCAGTCATTCATAACTGTAGTTTCAAGTGAAACTATGTGTTTAATATGGTTTGCTACAATTGCTGATGATGGTGATTTTAATAAATATTCTTTACCTTACATATTGTTATAGCTATAACTATATTTTATTTAAACAAATGTAATTGTTTAATGAAGTCTTAATGTTCAATTCAGGCTGTGAGGACGTCTGCAATCGCTCTTTTGGGAGTGATGTATCTGTATATGGGAGCTCCTCTGCGCATGTTCTTTGAAGATGAAAAACCAGCCCTCCTTTCACAAATAGATGCTGAGTTTGTGAAGGTAAATATAACCTTTTATAATGCAAAAATGGAAAGCAGTCCTTTCAGGAGTTTACTCAACCATCAGTGGGTTTTACCTCTTATACTCATCCACTGAACCGCACCTGTTTTGTTTCCATTGTTTTACTTTGGTGTTGTCATTCCCTCCCTGTCTAACTTAGTTCAAGGGCACTGCACGGGTGTGTTTCGGCTGCTTTTCCGTTTTTCTTTTTGTATATTTCTCAGTTTATCAAAGCAGATTATATTAAATACAACCTGAAATATTACATAGAATTTTAAGACTAGATTTGATCAAGTGTTTTTTTCCAGATGTCGTGTTGGACATACAAGACTAACACTTGTTTTTTGCTCCAAGGTGAAAACCCTACTCTGTGTTTGAACTGCACAATTCCCCTAACTATAACTGGGTTGTCCTGCTTTTAAATTATTCCAGAAGACTTTTTTTATGAAATGAACTCTAAGGACATTTTTAGCAAAGTGACAAATTTAAACGTTCCTGCCATGAAAATAGCCTTGGTTGCTGACATGGCATTAAATAAAAAATACATTACATTACATGAAAGAAGATTGTTCTGTAAAGTTGTTTTATTTTTACACTACTGGTTTTTAATTTCTTGTATACATTTATGCATTTATTTATTGAAAATTATGTAAACACTGTGAAAACAGAATAAGGTCACAAAGGAAAAAGTAAACAATGCAAGTTTCAGATAAAAGAGTTAGAAAGACATTAAAAGTAAACTTTGAACTTCAAATTAAGTTTGACAAAGTAAACAAAGTGGGAAAAAAGTTAAAGAAACAAAGGAAAGAAAGCAGACATAAATAAGCTAATAAGGCAAAATAAATTACACAAACTAGAAAGAAACAACAATTAATGCTGATTTATAGTTCTGCGTCAAGCGCACGCTTGTACTAAAGTGCAGCCTACGTGTTATGGCACAGCCCTACGCTGTGGCTGTCGACATTGGTGACCCGCACCTCTCGAAAAATGTAACTACACGTCACAACGGCACATAGTGCAAGCTCTGTGATTTGTCGGCTTGGTAGAGCTGACGAGTCTGGGAGGGACTGAGTGCCGTGCAAACCCGATGGAGCGATTGGTTTAACAGTTTGGAGTGCCGGGAAGAAGCTCCTGATGGAAAGTTTTGTTTTGTGTTTATCTCATGGTTAAAGTTGTTGCACGTCCACTGGTTCCTGCCTCAAAATGAGCAAGTTTAAACCACTTATACATTAAAGGGTTACGAAACACCAAAACACATTTTTTGAGCTGTTGACAGTCATATAGGTCTCACACTGCTAAAAACACTAGTAGGATACATATATTTCACTAAAAAGTGAAAATTGGTTGTTTGCGTTATTTTGAGCAAATTCGTACATCCGGTTTGAAACAAATTTTTGAAGCTGCGTCACGGCCATGTGATCTTAGCGTGTATTCCAGCGTGTAGACTGGACATCTGTACCTGGGAGTACTGTATTACGTCTCTGTGTGTGCTGCATTCATTCATGAGTATGACTCAAGCAGCAACCTCCCGCTCTCCCTCGTGAGGCCAATATAAAAGTAACTGAAACTGCAATTCATCGAAATTCCACTAGTCCTAGCTCCATAATAGAGCAAAGTTTAATTGAGCCCACTGTTAAAATGGCTTAACTTTAAAGCAGAAAAAAAGGTGTTTACAGTCTGGTACAAAGAAAGATTTTGGTTTTTACAGCTAATACTACCCTTCATGACAACTGTGAGGGGGGTGAATTTTTATTTTTTTTTACTAACTCAACAGTTTTCGTTTATATTAGGTTATATTAAGTTTGCATAATTAAGGGCGTGGCCACTTGATTGACAGCTAGGTCTCGCTGGTCCCCGTCACTTCATCTCAGCTGACTTCGGCAGATTAGCCACTGATTTCTGCATATTCATCATATTTTTGTTTTGTTTTATGTGGCTTTACACAGTCAGTTGCCTTTTGGGATTATTTCCTAGTTAATAAGCAGCAAATGTAAATAAATAGAATATCTAAAGAGGAATTACACGAGAAAAGAGTTTTTTTAAATTTGCTCTTAAGTATTAACATACTTAAAAGTGTGTTAAATTAAGGAAAAAAAAGAATATATGATATGGTGGAGGACACAAATTAAATTAGATCAATGATTCACACTAGCTGCGTCCCAAATGGCACACTATACACTATGCACTCATGCACTATGTACTTATGCACTTACACACTCAACAGGATAGTATATGTATGAAGTGGTGTCCCAAATGGCACACTAATGTTTTTTTACTAAGCGGAAATTCAAACCGTTTCCCTAATGACCTTTGACGGTTGCCAAATCAGTGAAATAAACAACAGAATTATCAAATAATACCTGCCATGAGTATTGCCGCATTCACCATCGGGAGGCGCTATAATCACTCTCGTTGGAGAAATTTGCTTTCACCATCCAAAATAAATAAAGTTATCCAACATGTGCGTCCGATAGCTCCGCCCCTTCCGCTACGTATGCAAACCTGCGGTCGTTGAGTGCGTGAAGTGTCCATCATTACACACTTCATTTTAGCAGCTGAATGAGTGCATCATCCGGGTAATTAAAGTGCACTTATGATTTTTAGAGTTTTCAGTGTGAACACACTACTTTCACTGTTTATACTACAAAATGGCGTAGAATAGTGCATAAGTATGCGATTTGGGACGCAGCTCATGACTTTGCTGCATCACCTTGGCTAATAAATTTTTTTAGTTATTTTACATTGTCATGCTATCTGTCATAGATGCAGGGTCAGTCTCCTCCGGCCCCCACTCGTGGAGCCAAAAAAGCAGGAGCAGAGGAGGATGGCGATGTGGCTGATGAAGACGAGGCAGACGGTGGAGCTGGAGACATCATGGACATGCTGCCCAGAACTGACATCAGGTCAGTCAGAGACTGGCTTCAGAAATTCTTCTTTTTTAATAATGGATCCATCCAGTGTTCATTTTAACAGCAAATTTTGATTTGGTTTTATTCTTAGTCTTTTGACTAAAATTCCATTTGAGTTTTTCATATTTTTGTCTTCTGAATCATTTTAGTTTTAGTCAAATACATTTCATAAGATTTTAGCCTACTTAATCTACTCTATTTAGTTGACTGAAATATATTTGGTTTAAGTGTAATATAATTAAATTTTGTATACATTTAATACAAATATTCTAACTTAAAAGTAAATAAAACTATTTAATAGATATGCATTGTTTATTTATAGCATAAGTAATACGTAAAATTGTGTCCGCGATCAATCCACATGTAGCCGTCTTGAAATGCAGGATTGTGCAAGTATTTAGCAAACTCTTTATTTCAACCTGGCAAACTACTAGTCTTTTTAACCAGTCTGTTTAACCATTCCAAGCCATTAAATCTTTGTAGGGGCTTAAAATAAGTCCACTTTGCAGTGCCAGTTTATAGCAAGCTTTACTGTTGTAATTGGTACATGTGTACAGTACATGGTGCTCACCTGTATAGCACAAAGTAAATAAGTATTGACGTGACTGGCAAAGGATAATGTGTTGTCTTGTAAAATGTGCAGTCAGTCCCATGGCTGTGTTAACTCGCATACAGGAGTTAAGTGAAGATGTACGTAAAAATAAGTGCGCCTCACTTCAAGGCAGTTTCGTTAACTTGTATGTTGTATGTGACTCCCTGATAAGCGGAGATTATTGCACTACAGCATCAATACATCCTTACAGATGTAAGAAATCACATAGCTGAATGATGTCCTAAATAAAGCTTTTTTTTTTTTTGGTAGAGGTACTCTGTAAATGGCTGTTGTCATGACGATAGTGGCAGACGCAGACAGTGCGTGAACCTTGTGCAAGTTTAGAGGGTTAGCTAAACTGTAGCCACAGCTTAAATGAAATGTGCAAGGAAACAACTCATAAAAATGAATTCCAAGATATAAATTTAAGACTGACCGATTTGATGTATCTTGTAACTTTTAATGTATGTAACTTTTAATGTACAATCTAACTGAGTGAATTCTCTAAAGCTCGGTGAGAGGCTATACCAATTCAGTCGAGCAAAAGCACACGCACTGGTAAATAAAAAGGTCAGAGTTTACCTTTGCTGAATTTCTGGATAACTTCCTGGAATGCTGATGTCGCTTTATATTTGTTGTTGTTATCAGCTATTTCCTCCCCATACGGTTTACTATCTTTTTGTCTTGACATCAAACGTGAATCTTCTTTTCCCAAGATTAATTCTGATTGGACATTTTCCAAAAACGTTTCTCAAAAAAGTGTCGTCATCACTTAAGCTTTCTTCTAGTTTTCGTCAGTAGGAACTTGTTCGTCACGAAAAGGGACATTTTTCAGCAGCGAAATTAACACCGAGTCCATCAGGCAATTTTGGATGATGGCAAAATCAGGTTGAGAGATTGATTGTGTTTTTCAACAGTGATAAAATCACATCAGAAATGGTGTCAAAGATCAGCGACAAGAACTGGAAGATCAGGAAGGAGGGTCTGGATGAAGTGGCCGCTGTCATCTCTGAGGCCAAATTCATTCAGGCAAACATTGGCGAGCTGCCCATGGCACTGAAGGGCCGTCTCAATGACTCCAACAAACTACTGGTAAAGCAAAAATAACAACTTTAAATATTTTATCCATGTTCAGTGCTTATCTGTTTTTTTTTTTTTTTTTGGAGTTTCTTTTATTTAATTCTTTCCTCTTTCATTTTATTCTTTAACCATTAATTTCAGTTTTGATCAGAAGAAGCATGGTTCTTCATTTTAGTTTGGCTTTATATATATATATATATATATATATATAT